AATATGGGTATAATATGGGTATAATATGGGTATAATATGGGTATAATATGGGTATAATATGGGTATAATATGGGTATAATATGGGTAGAGATGTGGCTAATTATATAAAAAAAAAGATAAATTAGGAATAATAATAATAATGAAGAATCAAACCCAAATCAGGTCTGCTGAAGGTTTCCTGGCAGCAGAACAAACCCAAGAGGCTCCTACCTGGGGCAGGTTGTAGACGTGGCCATGATAGATGAGCTCATAGTGGGGTGGGTTGATGTTGCTCTGGTAGATGCAAAAGAGGTTTTCATTTGTCATGTCTGCGAATTAGAGTTTTAAAAGAGGGATTTTTTAAGGGTGCTGATGTGATGCGAGCTGCAAACAGCAGCAGCCCCAGAAAGGCAGTACCTGGTTTATCTGTCGTCCGGATGAAGTACTGGGAAGTGAAGGTTTTGCCGTTGGGATACTTGGGGCTAGGTGGCAGTCTGGAGTCAAGGTAGGTGCAGAAGATGTGCATAAGGATCTGTGCAAACAAACCCAAAGCTCTCTTAAATAGCATGGAAAAGACTGAGGAACAAAGGGCTACAACACAGCAGCTTTCTTCCCATAACCTCAGACATAAGAGCATATATAGGACACATCCTGACGAGGTCTGGTGGAAATAAATGATTTATATTGGATATGAGACTAACATTACTGTAAAGAAAATAACTGTCCAGTGGTTTTTGAGTAAGTTAATGCCAAGGCTTCATGACAAGTGTTTGCATTAATTTCACCTGTGCTCTATCAGGGCTTCTTTTAGAGAATCTTTGGAAGTTTTGCATGTTTGTCCAGACCTACCTCTCCTAGTTATTTTTGGTAAAATACCAAAAATCACCTGTGGATTTCATGGTGTTAATGATCGTTACCACTTCAAGTTGTCCTGCTTGCTGTCTGCTGAGGCAGCCTGAGCTGCTTCCCAGTGAGTCAGCCCCAAATCCTGGTGTGTTTAATTTTCTAATTGTGATGATTACTATTTCAAGACAGATTTTGTTCAGTTTTAGCTTCCACCAGTTCAATCTTGTTATATCTTCAGCAGCAAAGTTGTGAAGCTTTTACCTATAGATCTCTTGGTTCTTCTTCCCAATAACTGAGTATCTATGTAGTGAAAAAAAGTTAATTCTCCTCTTAAATTCCAGCTGGAGAGTGACAGTGCAAAGATTATTTTCCATTCCCTGGATTATTTTGTGCCCTCTGAATTATTTCAGGTGAATTTTCAAGTCACTGGGCATTCTGAAGTGCTCCTCTCCTGACTGTGTTAGTTAGCTGAGCACATTTACAAGTCTGTGCTCGAGTGAAACGCAACCCTGTGGGTTTCTCAAGAAACATTATTCAGTTAAACAGGCATCAGACAGGATGCTCAAGCTGGTCCTTTACCCACTGCAGAAAAAGGGAAATCAGAAGAAGCTGGAAGATTCTTCTTGAGTTAGAAATTGTGAGGTTTGCTTAAGGCAGACCTCTTTTTTAAAAAAATATGGTATGAAAATTGCTCTAATGAGATCTCCACCTGGGAGGCAGTTACCTGTCTGACATCTCAGATGAGTCTGAAGAGGCTGCCCTCAAGCTAAGACATATTTTTGTGATGTGCACCATTTCCAGGCCCATTTGTATCATTCCTCACACTACACTGGGATTATCAGAAGTGAAGCAAACAGGATTTTGACTTTTTTTTTGCTGCCACCCACAAAACTGATGCCGAAAAAAACAGCTTTAGGAAGTTCTGAGTGCTTTGAACACTTACAGCGCAGTCGGTGGGCAAGTCAGCATCCCATTTACGGCCTTTGAAATCTCCTCCTCTGTTCCATCGGAAGGAGCTCATGCACCCTCCCTCTGAGAGCTCTGAAAACAACAACATTTATTCAGCTCCTGGGGGTGGAAGGTGCAAGAAAGACGTATTTTGCACTACCTTTGAGAACCCCACACCTCAGTGTGCATTTTCGATGCACCATATAGGCCGGATTCAACCACTGGAATGCCTATAAATATTAAATATACTTAGAGGTGCTGCGTTTATGAGGTTATTTTTTATTTGTAATTAACAAAGGGATGGAAGTGATGGGAGATCTGGCACCACCACTGCTTGCAGCTAAGTGAAACGCTTCCAAGGGCGGAAGGGGAGCACGTACCTTTGATCCGTTCCACCAAGTACTCCTGGTTTGGTGTGAAATCCAAATACTGCACGATAGTGTTCAGGGTGGGAATGGCTGCAGCTTTAACAAGCGCTGCCTGTTTCAGGCTGCTGATGCTGGCTTCTGCGTGCAAGGTGTTAATAAATGCACTGTTACAAAGAGGACCTGGCTTCTTTGGTCTAATTGTTTATTACTAAGCTTAGAGCTAAAGTTCACGTCCTAGGCAGTGCCCCGACTGCTCATTTCCCATCCCCGTGAAGCGCTTGCTGTCTCCCTTACACCATGGAATAAAAACCCTGGACAGGCACAAAAGACTTAACTGAAAGGTGTGCGTTGCATAAGGAAAGAAAAACAGATAGAGTGTAAAAGGGAAGAATGAAAATCCATTTTAAAGAGCAGCAAGAGAACAGGAAGGTGCAGAAGAAGAGGCCAGGAAGGGGTCAGCTCTTCACAGGGATCCTAACGGATGCAGATCTCAAGGGGAGACAACAAATCAGTCCCCTCATTCCCCCAAAAAAGACCCTGTGTTTAAATGCAGGGAATTGCTCCCTGCTCTTGGGGAAGGGGCCATGCGTGGGATCTGCCAACGGAAGGGGCTCCTTCAGAGCTGGACTGGGAAATTGCAGCTACAATCCCCGCTCAGATTGTCCTCCCAACCCTGTCTACCACTACAAATATCCACTATGAAGAGCTTCAATATACAGGATTAATGGCCTGAGAGAACAGAAATATTCTAGGTTAAGATAAATAAAGAAAAAAAAAACCTTTCCAGGGCTGTGGGTTTAATAGTATTCCACTTACAACGACACCTCTCTGTTCTTAACAGTATTTGTTTAGGGTGTATCAGAACTAAGTTTTCGTAAAACATTTTGTGGCCTAACTGCTTTAGGACAAAGAAGCAGGTCACAACTCAAGGAAGTAACAGCAATTATTTTTTTCTTTTTTTTTTTTTTTTTTTTTTCTCCAGAAAATAGCTGATATTTAAGGAGACATTTGGAAAAGCACACATAAAACAGACAGTGATTGCTGAGAGGTAGCTTTCCTTGCAACATGTTATAGTTTTCTTGCAGTTTAAGATACAATAAAGATGCTAACTGGAACCTTTAACTCTCCAGGAATAAATGCAGAGAAAACTAAGAGGTTTATGCACTTTATACTATCAGAGCACCAGCACCTTCACCAGGATTCCCATCAACCTTAGGAATAACCCTTCCCAGATAATAAATTGCAACCCCACAGCTCCTCCTGTGCTCCCACCTCCAATCTGCATTTCTGGGTACCCCATTCTTCGCAGCTGGGTGCTCACAGACTCGATCTCTTGCACAAGTGGTACTAAAATTGTGTCGTTAATCCACTACAAAAGAGAAATGCAAACATTAAAATGGCAAGAAGCAACGAGAAGCTCACGAACCTGGTACAGTACAGACATTTTACATCTCAAAAACCTTTACTTCCCACTCCACTCCTTAACAAACACAAAAAAACCACCTGCAATTGTATTTCCTTTGCTACAGTGGCTCCTGCTCCTAAGACTAAAAATGTTCTTTTTGTTTTATTTATTTATTACGCTTCTCATGACTGTCAGAGAAAGCTACTGTGCTGACAATTTCCATGCTTTACTTGAACCCAGGAGAATAAGCTTGAAAATCACGAGAAAAAAAAAAAAAGCAGTTCAGAAATACAAGTTGCAGAAAAAAAAAAAAAAATCAGTCTTATCACATCCACCGTGTGTTTAGATGCATTTGTCTCCACTCAAAGGTAGGTGAACAAGTGTAAAGTTTTCAGAATACAAAACAGCCAGGGCATAAGTTTAAGTTGAAAATTTTCTTACTACTTCTTGGTTACCAGCAGGCTGCTTTAACCTCCGTGTCCAAGTCCACCCTCCTTCCCGGTAGACTCAAAGATGGATTTTTTTTGAGAGATGAAGCACTTCTCTATACGTCCATACCCGTTCTAACAAGAACAGGCAGTCTATAGGGACAGGACTTACACTTCTGAACCGGGCAGTCCAGGTATCCATGTGATCAAGCTGGCGCCGATTCACAATCACTCTTGCCCAAACCTACAGAAAAACACGTGATTACTATATTACTATATTACTATATTACTATATTACTATATTACTATATTACTATATTACTATACTGGAGCAACTTGAGAGAAAACCAAAGGAGTTTTTAGGGCCTAAGACTTTTTCTGAGCCCAACAAGAACCCGTAACACAAGCTGCATTTATTAGGTTAGGGGATGAAATGAAGAAATGGATCAAATTTAATTAAAGCTACCTTAATATTCCTTTGAATCAAGACTTATTCCAGTCACAAGTGTAAAGCAGCAAGTTTTACGTACTTCAGTTATTTGACTATGTTAAATACAGGCCAGTTTCCAGGCATTTTTTTAGGTCCCAAGGTTATTTTACCCACAGAATGGTTCAAGAAGCAACTCGAGTTTAACTTGTAATGTCTGTCTTATTTAATATTACTCTGTAATCTGAGATAACTTTAGAGAAAACACTTCTGAAGAGTTGGCCGCAATGACAGCAGGGTTTCCTGCTTCCCACTGTGGCTCACACAGTCAGCATCACATCATTATATAAAGACCACAAAGCAAGAAAGGCTCAGATTCTTGTAGCAGCCACATTTCTATCTAAATACAGGTAACCTGCTCTCCGAGGCAGAAATCACTTTCCAATTCCAATCCAGAATGTGAAATACACCCCTCCAGTGACAAAGAGTCTTTAGAAACTGCATGAAGAAGGTTAAATGCTCAGGGATTTCACTCCCCTCTTTCTAATGTGGTTGATGGAGCTCATGGCCAACCCTTTGGATGGGGCTCCGTGTTTGAGGGCTCCTTTGGTGCTGAACTTACCTCCTCTGCAGCCTGTGGAGAGCTCAGATGAGCCTCATCCTTGTGGGTGGATGGAGCGAGGGGCCTGCAAGCCAGCTGATACTGGAACTTCCTCAGCACCTGCGCTTGCTCCACAAGGGAACGGCTGTAGTTCCAGAAGGTCGGGCTGTTGGATGGAGAGCTGGAATCAGAATTCGCTGAAACGACATTAAAGTCATGCACAATTATCACGCAACAGGGAAGGCAACAGCTCCATAAATTAAATTTTGATTGGAGAGACGTGCTCGTTAATTATCATGAGTACTTACAACTAAGTCTATCTGCATAAAGATGAAATCGGTGCTTTTGTCAATATGGCACAGTCCCTTCCTAGGACAAAAACTACCTGCTGAGAATTCTGCCACCTTTATCTGAATGGATTTCTCCACAAAATAACCCTCTCAGCAAGCTCATAAAGTCGTTCATCTTATCACAGTCCAAAACAGCTGACAAATGCTACGGATAAAACCTATCCGTACAGCTTTCCATTACACATATGCATTTGGCCAGGAACAGCAGCATATTTCTATCCAGTACAAGGCCATGGAGCAGAATCTTCTTAAGCTCCTGAGTGAGGGATGTGTAGAAATTACCAAATTCTGCCTCCTCTCTTAATTACTGGCTTTTTTACAACCTTTACTAGGTTGAAAAATGACTAGAACACGTGTGAGTTAGTCTGACTTCCAAGCATTTCAGCAGCTCGCTGTCTTTGCTGGAATCCTTCCCAGCTTTTCTCACCCACAAAACCAACTCTCCAATAAAACCCACATCCTCTCCTTGCCCAGCAAGTGAGCAAAGGGATTTATTTACCCATCTGAAGTCTTTGCTGTTTCTCTTCTTCGCTTCGAAGGTATTTCTGTAGTGACTTGAGGTCTGTAATTTCATCGTCGGGACTCATGCGGGAATTATACCGGATTGGCGTGGAGCGGTAGCGGGACCTCAGGCCGCTTTCCACTGGTCCAACACTTGCTGGATATGGGGAACCCGATGGAGAAGAGCTGAAGCTGGAAAACTTGGGGGAACAGAAGCCAACACTTGTGTCATATGCAGGTAAGAGTTCCACTTTGATTTATAAACTACACGAATTGATTGACTCAATGCATTGATATATTGCTTGATTTATAAACTACATGAATTAACTGACTCAACACATTGATTTATTGCTCTGCTGATTGCTTCTACAAGACCTAGTCTGTTTTTTGGGATGGTGGGGTTTTTTTGCTATTTTGTATTTACATTTTCATCTCTTGTGTTTGCTTTTGTCTGAAACAAACTAACTCCTGTAAAATGAGTAAATCAGCACTGGGGAAAGGATGAATCCTGACAAGATAAAACTGCCAAGGGAGCAAACATTTGTCAGGCACCTCCACGAACTTCTGGCACAACACAAGAACACGAGAAGGGAATTCAAAGCTCTCTGTCGGAGCCGTCGCAGTCCTCACCTTGCTGTAGCTGCTGCTGGGCGAGTAGCTCAAAGCACTGCTGTAAGAAGCATTGCTGCTCGACAGCGCCTGCAGCTGAGGGCTGTAGCCTGCGACACAGCCCGAGGCAAACTTGGGGCTGGCCCGGAGGGGACGCGTCGGGCTGTAACTCAGCACGTTTTGACCCTGCATGGCAGGGGAAGGAGTGGAAGAAGGGACCTTTTTTGCTGATAGCTCGTGTGCTGGAGCTATTTGTACTGCTGCAAGAAGTGGAAAGACATCATTAGTACCAGAGATGCAGCAGCCTCAAATTCCCCTTGTTCCTTTTAAATGCACAGAAGAACATAGCATTTTCTTAAGGAAATTCAGTGAGGCTAAAGCCTTATCTCCAGTTCCGCGGATATGTCACAAATTCCTTATCCAGCTTCCCTGCCCTTTATCCTCTATCCTCTCCTATTTTAATGGCTTCCTTCCTCTTCAGTTCTCCCCTCAATCCTGCCCCAAATTAACATTTCTATCCTGAAACTGCTGCTGTTAATTCATCTTACTGCTGTTTTCAGATAAAGTAGCTGGGAATTTCACTTTGCAAAGATACCAGCTTAAAAGAACAGGGGAAAATAGGCATTTCCAACACCTACCTGCATTCTGCATGCCTAGGAGGATCTGCTGCCTGCGAGTCATGACTAGGGTAGTCGGTGCCATTGTGTATTTGAAATACAACCAAAAATCAAACAAGGCATTCAAAGTGAACAGGGATGCAAGTGCGAGCTCTGGAAGAAAGATTTTATCATGTTAGATGTCATAAGCATTAGTAAAAATAAGTCATTTGAGAAAAAAAAAAAAAAAAAGGTTTATAAATACACACAAAAAGGTTATTTTAAGTGCTACCAACAACTGTCATCTGAGGATGGAGATTCACCTTTTTATGCAAGAACCAGTAGAGAAAAATTTCCTCTCTGTAATAAAATTAATCTGTATGTCCAGAACTCCTCTAATTCCCATAGGATAAAGAGGGATAAAATAAAATAAAGTTCTAGTATCCCTTTTCTTTTTTTTTTTTTTTTTTTTAAGAAGAAAGCTGCCTTTTAAGCAACTTTCCCAGCAAGAAAACAAAAGCATGAAATACTCCCTCCTCCCCAAAACTCATTTATGGCCAGGGACAACTCACCAATATACCAGAGTAGCCAGCAGGAGATGTTGTAGTACGAACTTAGAAGTTTTCCAGTCCTGAAAAGGGAAAAAATAAAACCCGAAAAAGTTACCAATTTGCAACAATTGTGTTCTGGGGAATACTGAGGTCTCTACAAAGCAGGATGCTTTACGCAACGGAGTCAGATTAATAATCAACATACATGTCTGTATAGATCATCCCCGCAACGGAGATGTTAAGGAGCCCCCAGGCCCAGACCACCTTCCGCTCTTCAGCCTCCCTCCTCATCTTCATGGTCTTGTCAATGAGGGAAGCTGCTGAAATCTGCTCGGCCGCCATGACCTGCGAAGGGAAGGAGAAAAAAATGGAAGGTTTGGACACAGCAAGAGTCTCCCTTAGCACAAGACGCGAGAAAAATACAATAACCCAAAATAAACGGTATAGCAGGACACCACCTTTAGGAGTTCTAAGTACCGATTCAAAAATGGGGTTAAAAAAATAAAATCAGTTCTTTTTGCCAGCAAAATCCCTCTTACAAAGCCTGTAAACACTATCTCCCTTTACAATGAGGGCACATCTGGTTTCTTCCATAGGCTACAAGGCCTGATACTGAGCCCACCTGGTGAATAATGGTACTTTACAAAGGGAAATAAAAGGAAAAAAAATAAAGGGGGGTGGAAGGGGAAGAAAAAAAAGGTAAAAGAGGGTGGAAGGAAAAAGAATAAAAGAGAGGGGGAAAGATATGAGTAAGAGTGGGGGGAAAAACAGAAAGAAAAAAATAAAAAGGGAGAAAAAATAAAAAGGAAAAATAGAAGAAAAAAAGATAAATAATTTAAAAAAAAAAAAGGAGAGAAAATGGGAAAAAAATAGAAATTCCGGCCTCCCGCCGCCCCCAGGCCCACCCCTCCCCACACGCCCCCCGGCGCACACAGGCCGCCCCACACGGTGCTGGGCTCCCCACACACGCAAGGGCCGCACCAAGGAGGCGCCGCCAGGCCGGGGCGGCCCCGCTCGGAACCGGGGGACGGCCCCGCTCCGCGGCCGCCCGGGACCCCCGCCCGCGCCCCCTTCCCGCCGCACCGCCCTCACCGGCCGCCGCGCCCGCGCCAACGGGCCCGTCGCGCGGGCGTGACGTCACCGGGGCAGCGCCGGGCGCCCGTTGCCACGGGCGACGCCGCGTTTGGGCGGGAAGCGGCGGCGCCGCCATATTGGCGGCTGAGGCACCTCTACCTAACGAAAGCCCCGCAGCATCTCAAGAGGCGATCTGCCGTTTGCAGAGCGATATTTATCGGTTCTCCGCCCTGCTGGCGGTTCAGGCACACGCGGGAATGGTGCTTGGGCTGCCGCAGCATGGAAGCTGATTCCATGTGTTATTCCTCCCTGCAGAGTTGCATGTGGGATGCACAGAGTAATAAAAATACTGTTGGTTGGAGAAAAGGAGGAGAGAAAAAAGAAAGCAGTCAACTCTATAAGCATAGGCCAATGGAGAGCTTTGGCTGCTCTGAAGAACGTCTTGACTTTACCTTGTTTCCTAAGCATGAGGGTAAAAACAAGAAAAGCCAAAAATGGAGACAACATGGCAGGAACGTCACAAGCTAAACTTGTTTCCACACAGCTTGTCTGAGAGGGGACAAATCCCACCTGCCGTCCCCTCATGTGGGAGGCCCCATCCCATGGCCATCGTGGCCTCTCGAATATGGAGAAGGGCAGCTCTTCATGGGATCAGGACCCCAGAGCCAGTGGTTTCCATGGCTCCATGGCCGCATTCCAGCATTTCCGCGGTTCCCAGAGGTTGTCCCTGTCACAGAGCGTTCCCCGAACCCCCAGGCTCCATGGGATTCCCTTTCCTCCCTTTTTGGCAGTGTTTTTGGACAAACCAACCCTTGCTTTCCAATGCTGAGCAGAAAGCAGATGAGAAGAAGTATGAGAAGGACGAGGAAGAGGTGTGGGCGGCCACAGGGAAAATCTTGCTCTGTTCCCTGATCGGCATCTTGACTCTCTGTCTTGTGTGCCGCGCGTGCGCTCAAGTAAGATAATATTTTATTTGTGTTTTGTGCTGACACCTGGTGGCCCTTAGCAAAAACCTTAGCGTGGCCCTCATAAGAAACTCTCAACCTCAGAAGTTGCTCTTATACCGTTACTTTTATTATTTCTAAACATTATAAGCTCATGGGTTGATTTTGCCATTGGTTTCAATGAGTCTTTCCTGTTAAGGTTTAAGGGATTGCTCCTTCTCCATCCTGTCTTTATCACTTAAATATAATCAATGTGCTTGGGGTACCAAAAAGGCAAAGATGTTACCTGATGCAGGAGCATGAGGCTCTGGAAAGCTGGAGATCTCTGGAAAGCTGAAGATTTGCTGAAAATCTCAGTGTTTGATAAGTAGCTCCATCGTGGTTAGTGGTGTCATGTTGGTGTAGAGCTGTGGGTGCCCCTGGGGTGCCAAAATGAGGAGTGCGATCCTAAAATGATGCTAGTGGTGGCTCCAAACAGTGAGCAACACACTGAAATCCCAACTCATTCCTTACTCGGGGCATTCCTAAGGAGCCTGGGCGATTAGGGACACGTAAATCATCCTTTACTTCCCGAAAATAATAGTTGGAACACCAATAATGTGTAATGAGTTGTGTGGAAGGGATTTGTGTGGGATTAACACCCCTAGTTCAGGAGATGAGTTGCCGATGGAACCTCTTGCCGTCTCAGCGCTACGAGTTGAGCCCAAAATGGTTAGGAAAGAAATATTTCTGCTTTCCCGTGAGAAAAGAGCAGGATTTCTGTGCAGTGTTACCTCATTGGAAGTCGTGGCAGAAATGGGGGTGACTTGAGCGCTCCCCTCAGGGCAACAGCACCTGGCATGGCTCCCGCTGCTATCGCTGCCTAGGGATTAGCCTTGTTTCCCAAGGCCACTCCAACCACGTCTTTCACTCGCCCTGTTAGAACCAGCATTGGGCGTTATCGCCCTGGCTATCGAGAACATAATGATTATACAGTCGCTCTGACTAATAACATCTGCGTCGTGTGCCTTTCTCTGAAACAGGTTCTCCGAAAAAGCCGAGAGAAAAGATTATCTTCTGACAAAAGTGCTAGCGATTCGAAAGGTAAATACAGGTTTTATAAGGTTATGCGTAGGGCTCAAAGAAATGGAGCAGAAATCGCCATGTCAGAGCGCAGGAGAAGCCACAGAACTGCCAAGAGGGCAGAGGAGATGGGCAAAGCAGCAGGAGCGCAAGGAAAGCTCAGTTGGGTGTTGGTCTTTCCCCTTTCCAGTCTTTCCCCCCCTTAAAATTCCTTTTCTGGCAGCCTGGTGAGTTGTCTGGAGAGGACAGGAGATAATTTGAGGCACGTTTGGTTCTACAGGATCCTTGTAGGTCACTTGTTGCTGTGGCACGATGGTCCCTCCATGACTCACTGCCTAATACCACGTCCTCTTGGGACTGTGCGTAATGTCCCCCACCCTGCCTGCCTCCATGGCCATGGGAGCACTTAACTGCAGTGACAGCCTCATGTGGGTCCTCCACCCTCCTAGCAGCCACTCCTTGGCCCAAGTGCTGCTCTTAAGCGGAGGCCCTTGGCCCTGACCTTTGTGTGAGCTGCTGTGTGCTTATGGCTCACTCGATCTCATAGCTCCTGGCCTCACCAGCGGGACCTCCTGGCTCGACTTTGGACCTGCCTTGTGCCTGCTGACTTGCCTGGTGAGCTGGACTGGCCCTAGTTAGTGTCACCAGACCTGCTCTTGGTTGGGTCCTGTGGGGCTGTGGGGCTTGGTGCTGAGGTCTCTGCCTGCCTTGCTGTCGCCTTGGGCTCCTGGCTTGCACTGGGCTGCACTTGCTGCTCCTTGTCTTGCTGGGGCTGTTCTGGGCACGTGCAGGACCGTGGATTTACCCTGTGGTCTAAGTCTGACCTCCAAAGCCTACAGGGCCTTATGGTCAACGTGCAATGGAGGTGACTGCCCTGAGGACTTCTGTAACCCTCCCTGCAACCATATCCCCTAACCCCTTCTGTGGGGATTAGCAGAGGGCACAAGGTGCTGAGGTTAAACCTGCTTCCCATGTCAGTGGGTGGAGGCCCCAGATGAGACAGGTCAGGGCAATCAGAACCTGTTGCTGCTCTCTGGGCACCGACACGTCTGGCAGCCTCTGAATCCTTGAGGGATGAAGCGTGAGTGATGAAGCAAGCGCTAATTTTGCTCTAAACTAGGTCCCTCCTTCCTTTAAAAGAAGGGATCAACAGGAGGTTATGGGCAGTCTATAAATTCTTTACAAATCTGACTCATTTTGAGGGTGCTGGAGACTCCATATTCCCCAAAGACTGGAATAGGTTAAATCTCCTAGACCATATTTATTTGGAAGTCTAGTTGGGAAAGGACACGGAGCCCATTTTTTGGCCTGTGTTCCCAGCCTTGCCCTTGTGGGGGACATTTGCTGCAGTGTCACAGCTCGTTTATTAGAGGTGCTGGGTGTCCCTGGCTATTTCTGCACCGTGGAGGAGCCTCTTTGTGGTACTTCCTACCAGAAGCAGTTGCAGGTGGGAGATGAAGAATTTCCCTGCAAATCCCCAGGCCTGAGTATCACAGGCTCTCCACGGAGTGCACCCAAGTCACACCCACTGATAGCTCATTTTTTTTTACGTGCCAAAACAAGCAGAAAAGACTGAGTTGGAGATGAGTGGGTTACAAGAAGCCCCTGCCTTCAGTGTGGGCTGGAAGGGGCTCCTCAGGAAGGTGCTGACGAAGGTTTGTAGAGCAATATGGGTGAGGTCTTCCTTAATTAGTGGCTTCCTCCGAGGGTTGCCAGCCTTCCTCCCCTAGGTTTTCCAGGGTGCTGGTGGTGAAGGTGTGGCTCCCAGGAAGCCAAGCCAGAAGCTGATTACGGCATGGTAGCGATTCCCATCTCCAATGACAGCTCCTAGGAATCCCGTCTGTTTGTCTTACAGCTGGTTCAGCACCTGGCTGTCCCCCAGTACCTTTTTTTTTTGTTTTTAGTGGTATTTTTTTTAGTATCCAACAGCTCTATGACTCTACCCTTCCTTTTGGGACAATTGCAGCTGGGCACTCCCAGGAAAAGAGGCAGGAGAGACGATTCCCAAAGCGCAGCCATGAAATCGCCTCTCACCGATGCTCCCCGGACATGGAGAGCGCCGACGAAAATCTCTGGGCATCTGTATGGAAGGAGAATGAGGCCGAGCCCGTCCTCCCCGCAGCAGGATGTAGGCAGAGAGCAGCACCAGAGCAGAGAGACACAGGGAGCTACTGGATCAGGGAGCAGCCCTGCCCTCATTGCAAAGCCGAGAGGACCAGGCAGTGGCTGTCCCAGCACTTTTTTAAACCCCTCTCACCTCCCTCTGCGTCAGACGCTTCACTGGAAGAGGATTTCTACCAAGCAATCAATCCATAACGGGCTTTCATGGGAATTTTATTGCAGCATTATTTTGCCTTGGAGCCCTGGAAAGGCTGGCTGGATCTCTATGAAACTCCAGCAACAGAGCATTGGGGGTGACACTATAAGTCAATAATAATAATAAAAAACCCCACTAAATTAAACCATCTAATTTCTGCCCAAAAGTGTGCAATTTATACCTAAGAGTGTACTTATAGCATTCCTTAGGCACAGTCTGTAAAATGCAACTTGTTCTGCAGTGGGCAGGACTCAGAACTCGTTCTTCAACATAAGTCACTCAATTAATCGATTATTTTAGCCAGTGTGAGATTTTTTCCTGTTGGCTGCCTCACTAGAAGAAGAAGTGGACTACTAGAAGTGTGGAGTAAGCAAAATATTGGCATGGGAAAACACATGGCCAAGAGTCTCCTGGCAGAGCAACCCTGCACCCCAATGAGAGTCAAAAGGTTGTCAGTTTGACTCTCATTTTCCTCTGCCTAGTAAAAAATCCGCCAAGGAGCTTTGTGGGCAAAGCTCTGAAAGCACCTTCTGTGCTTAGCTATAAATGTGTCAGTGGAAAAATATTTTGAGGTATTGAGTTCCAGCTCGCTATCTACTGATTGCTTGGAAAGCTTTGATACAGGTGTGAACTCGGTCACATGGCACTCAGATATGTTTGACCTGCAGAGAGGTTTCCTAACAAGCCCTCTATAAATTCGCCTTTGCTAGATGGATCTGCCGTTGCCATCAAACATGAAGCTGATTTGGGTCTTCAGTGCCCTCTTCGGGGCTTCCTTGTGCCTGGAAACGTTTGTTGGGTGAGTTGTACGTCTGTAGAGGACCTTTCTTTTCAAGGCTGTTTTCAGTCACTCCTTTCTTTGGTATCTACGAAATCAGTTCGGGGTATCTTTTCACAACTCACTTGTCTCCAAAATAGGTTAAATTGGCTCTTTTTTGCATCTCAAATCACGTAGAGGTGAAGAGAATCTGGCTATGCAGTTCTACCAAAAAGTATTTCAGTCCTAATACTGCACTAAATCATACAATGTAATTAAGTCACCAGGAAGTTGGTGGCTTTGCTAGTTTGATTTGAATGAATCCTCCTCTTCAGCTTGATCTGGGTTTTCCATGGAGGTGGGTCTGGTTGCAGAGCTAAATTCATCTTACACTTTCTGATCTTGAAGGTCTTTTCCAAGCATAATGATTCTATGATTAAGTTCACGTTCACCCAAGGCTTTTTTTGAGGTTCTGGTAGAGTTAGGGAGCATCCTCCAAAGCCTCGAGCTTGAACCTTCCCAAAAAGCTTGAATATTCATCCCAACAGATCTTGTCCAGCAAATGCCAGGAAATCACAACCTGTCTTCACATCCAAACAGGGGGCTGGTGTTTGAGATTCAGGGTTTAAATTCTTTCTCTCACACCTGTAAATGTTTTGAGTTATGAGTAATCCCAAAAGATAAGAGGGAAGCTCATTTGGAGCTTTCATGTTCCACATGATTTTATCGGTGGCCAGGAAAGAAATTCAGGAGTCCCACCAGGACTTCTACGTATGCTGTTTTTGTGATTTTCTGTGTTTTCTGGGGTATCACTCCATAGAGTTTTATTTCCACTTCTGCTTCTAATACATGTGCCTGAAAGATCACTCAAAATATTGTGCAGAATTACTGCAGAGAAACCCAAGATCCTAGAACAAAACTTCCCATAAAAGTCAGACTCCGTGCACAGTTCTGCCTCAATAAATGTTGCTCCTTTCAGTGCTGAGGTTTCACAAACCTCGGGCTTCAATCATTATTCAAGTGAAGCATTAGGAGCTTCTCGTTATTAGGAATAGGCTGCCCAGGGAGGTTGTGGAGTCTCCTTCTCTGGAGATCTTCCAAACCCTCTTGGATGTGACTGGGTGCCCTGTACTCTGGGTGTCCCTGCTGGAGCAGGGGCTGGACTGGATGACGCCTAGAGGTCCCTTCAACCTCAACCATCCTGGGATTCTTCTTATTTCATAGAAGCGTTGGTTGGAAAGCGCCTCTGGAGCTCTTTAGTCCAGCCTCCTGTTCACAGCAGGACTTGGAGCTGTTGCCCCTCGTTGTTACCATTTGCCCCTACCAAGAACTCTCCTTTTCTAACTCCCCTTCTAAAAAGCAAAAGGTCTAGTGTGAGTTAATCACTGAGGTTCCCTCTGCAACCAGTGGAGGAAGGTCCTTAGAGAAGATGATTCATTCCAGCCGTCCATCCAGAATGGTACAAACCACCCTCTGATGGTATCAGCTTCTGGTGACAGAGGGAGGTTAGTCAACAGTCTTTGCATTAAACATGGGTTAGCATTAAATATGGGTGAAGCCCATATCTAAGTGTCTGCTCTTCATTTTGTATAAACTTCTTCATTTTATATATAAAATACTCCCAAAACATTCCAGCATTTGTGAACTGAACACATTTTTTCCAAGTTGCCAACAAAAATAAATAGGTTCAAGACCCATCTTTTTACCCAAATAAAAACTCAGCCACTTGATGATATTTTGTCTCCAACGAAACCTTAGGGAGAGCCATGGAACAAGTCACTGAGCTGAGGCCCACGTAGCTGGTGGGACCTGCAGGTTGCGAGTTGAACCTTTGGGTAGCACAAAGCCAAGTGCATTGGAGAGGTCTATACTCATTGCATCAAAGTGACTCTTCTCCAGATCCATAATCCATGATCTCAATAACACGCTGGTTCAGCAAGGTCCTTGCTCAAAACTCTTTCTGAAGACTTACTGATTTGCTGCAGACACCAGGTTCTCCGAATCAAAGCAAGCAACGAGGAACAGATTCAACAACTGCACCTTCTGGAAACGCTGGAACATCTCCAGGTAAGTTACTACCACAGAGACACTTGTTAACGGTCCAGACTCTGGGTTCATCGTGTTGGGAAGGTTTTCCCAATAACACTGCTGTAAATAAATGGTTATCAAAGGAGCTGATGTCAGAGCTACAAGTTCTGGCACCAGGCAGGAGTGGCCACATTCACATTCTCTCTTCTCTGGGCTTATAGTCGCATTTGAACTGGTCTGCTCTAAACCTTAGGACCAAAGCTCTTGTTTTTAAGATGGGGACACTAATATTTCTGTGTTTGACTCCAAGAACAGTGGGAGGAATTTATTAGAGACTATACCGTATTGAAAGCACACCATAAAATCCTAGCTATTAGAGCTTTTATTGCCATTACAGAGAGTTTTAGTTATAATTACCTTTAAAATGATTGATTTGAGTAATATATAAACCAGCCTCTTAAAAGCCATATCACAGGAGGAACAAAAGCAGTGTTTCACATTACCTAATATTGAAATATGGAATTTCTCTTGAAATTACGACTGGCAAAAAGGAAAACAGTAAAATAATCATAATAGAAGACCAAAAGCTCCTCTTGCTTATATAAATGAAGCTCTAAAATCCATGAAAACACCATTTTTGACCCCCTAACTCCCATATGTTTCTTTCTTTGTCAAGTTGAGCACATTAACCAGTATAAAATCGAGGTGAGGCCAAGCTGCAGAGGGGAGCGTGCCATTAGCACAGCACAGATGCTGCTGGAGTTGTTAAATTTGGGAGAAATGAGTGTTTATAGAGCTCTGGCGAAGCTGTTGGCGGAGCCCACCTTCTCACAGCAAATCCATTTTTCTTTCCAGCTGGATTTCTGGTTAAGACCCTCTACCCCGGCTCTCCCTGTGGATGTCCGGATCCCCTTTCACAGCCAGCAAGCTGTCAAAGTCTTCCTGGAGTCCAACAACATTGAGTACTCTATCCTCATTGAAGACCTGCAGGTAGACGGTGCTGTGGACATGGCAATTAACTCCTAAATCCAGTGGAAACAATTAAGAGTCCATGATCTTTATTACTTAATCCAAGCATTCTGCTTTCTCTTCCCTTGCTTTTGTAGAACATGGATTAAGTCACCGTTTCCCTAGAGATGGTCTGTGAACCACTGATGCCCTAGGAAGCTGGGGAGATGACTCTGTGGATGCTCTTTGCAACCACGCTGAGCAGTGATTAAACTCATTAGCTCCATAGGGCTATTCTGATAAGTGAAATTTCACATGATTTTTTTTTTGCCATCAGAAGTTTGGGAATCACTGCAGGAAGTTTCCTGTAATTCAGCAAATTGTGCTAAGCATCAGAACCCCGAAGAACTGTACAGCAGAGTGTGAGGGCCAGAACCACACTCCTGGGCACTAATCTGGTGTTGTTGCATGAGCTGTAACTCCAAGCTGGCATCTAAAGATTAACTCAGCAGAAACTGCCATTTTTTCAAGCTTTCCGGTACTGATCTTGTTTATTTTAACAAATGTTTAATATTTAAACATTTAAAAAGATCATACCAGTGATCTTGCCTTCTTCGCTACACCCGTGGCCGGCAGAAAGAGGAGTTTGCTCTGTAGCCGTGTGAGGTTGGGACCATGTCCAGAGCCAGGACACAGCAGCACCGTCCCATTATCCGCAGGGAACATTGGGTGAGCAGTCTGCCAAGTAAGCAGGGAGCAAGCGGGCTTCCCTCTGTGTTTCCATGACTTGTTTTAGGTTGTACTGGATGAAGAAAAGCAAGATATGGCCCTCAGCCAACAACGGGAGCGCAGCAGCAGCACTTTCAACTATGGAACTTACCATTCTTTAGCTGCGGTGAGTAACGTGAACCCAACTTTTGGGGAGCATGATTCTTGTTTCTGGATTGTTTTTCCCACGCTCTCCTCAATTAAATCCGATGTTAGGATCTGAAATTCCTGTCTGGCTGCATTTGGCACCTGATTTTGTTTTTTTGTGGTCAGCACAGTGGGACAACCCTCTCCCTCACAGAGAGAGGGAGCAGGGAACTGGTCGTAGGGTGAGCAGGGGCTTTGGAGAGGCCTTACTAACACAGGCAGAAGGGAAGAATAAAGTGGATTGCACTGGATTTCATCAGATCCTACAGCTGTTCAGGGCAGCACAAAATGTAGATGGAATATAAGTGTCATCCTGACCTTTAATTTTAGATTTATGAAGAACTGGATAATCTCGCACACGAGTATAGCAGCATTGTCAGCAAACTCACGATTGGGGAATCCTATGAAAAGCGGCCTCTGTATGTGCTCAAGGTATGGTTCCTGTATATACAGCGTATTTAAGAGTGTATATGAGTGTGCACGTATATATGTGTGTGTGTATTCATATAAAATATGTATGAGTATATACTACTGTACTATTGTTCTCAATTGTATTATATTAGAGAGAAAATTCAGTCCAAATCAGCCCCGTCTATACGGCCTACTTGACTAAGAGGGGTCAGGAAGAGCTTAATGAATTTCTGTTTTATTTGGCAGTTCAGCACTGGAGGAACGAACCGTCCTGCGATCTGGATCGACGCTGGGATCCATTCCCGAGAGTGGGTCACCCAAGCAAGCGCCATGTGGATAGCTAGAAAGGTCACTTCAGCAGCCATTCGTTTGCCTTCTGTCTTGGGAATGCCCTTGGCTGTTGCAGTCTATATCTACCACATCTATACGTACTTAATCTGGGTCTGCTGCCTCTGCTTCACACATCTTATAATGCAGCTGACTCCAGACAGGACACGGCAACTATTAAGATACAAGGTTGAAATATTGCAACAGCAGGGAGAGGTTTAGGCAGGCAAAATGTCACAGTCCAAGTGGAATTGTTGAGGATGCAAGACTGATAACTTTGTGAGTGACTGAGGAGGTTGAAAAAATTAAGATAAGTTTGAGAAAATTAGCATTGGTTTGCTAATACTCGGTCTGCAGACACAGAGGGCAAAAATGCTAAAAATTTCCAGCTCAATTCAAATGAGCATTTAAATTTTGCTGAAAATGAGGAAGCCACCAGAGAAGTGCAGTCTCATTCTAGATTCCCAAGCTGGACTAATTCATCTCAATCCTAGTTTGAGCTTTGGTGCGTTCTCGGGGACTTGCAGGAGAACATTTTGTTGCCCTCTTCCATTAAATTCCTGTCTTCTGAATAAAATAGAACAGATTCCCTGCTCTCCCCGAGCCCCAGGTTTAACAAGGAACGATTACTGCCTGCAGATAATTAATGCCTCTTGTTTGCCTACCCAAAAAGCCAGACTTGCCCCTGTCCTCAGCCACGAGAGCATGAGCAAGGGGGGAGGACAAAGCTGATTGTTACCATGTGCCCTGTTTCTCTCTGCTTAGATTGCTTCTGACTACGGCAGCGATCCGTCCATCACCTCTCTGCTGAACAAAATGGACATTTTCCTGCTGGCAGTCACCAACCCTGATGGATACGAATTCACTCACACCAAAGTGAGTAAGCACTCTGCTTCCCAGCTCCTTCGGGAAGCTCTCATGCTCTTCCTAGCTGACAATAAATGTGAGGGGAGCAGGTTTCCACAAGGCCATCTATTAATGGTTTAATAAGGCAATGCAAAAGCATCGGGCAGCCGAAGACACTGGTTGCTTGTCTAATCCATCATTTTTTCTTCACTGTAAATTTGCCAGCCCTTTGATTGTCTCCATGGGCGCATCTGGGCAGTGAGTCCATGAGAAGTAATCCTCAGCTTGCATCCAGGATCATTTCCTGGGGAATGGAAACTGCCTCTGGGTAGCAGGGGCAATGCAAGGCCCGAGCTTTGCTCCTTTGCAAAGCCACAGTGTTGCTCTCTTTCAGAATCGCATGTGGCGCAAGACACGCTCCAAGAATCAAGGCAGTCTGTGCATTGGAGTTGATCCAAACAGGAACTGGGATGCAGGTTTTGGAGGTAGGAACACAGTTTTGGGGTTCTGGCTGTCACTAAGAAGAAAGTTCCCTTTGCTCTTGAATGCTGTTACATCCTATTAAATGGGAACGGCAAACTCCTGCAGTGATTCAGAAAGCAAATGCTCAAATATAACAGTAGTTGCCTTTTATAAAGGTGATTTCTTATTGACCAGTTGCCAAAGAGCTGAAGATGAGACAAGTAACCTGTACTTTCTAGCAATAAATCTCTCCAGGATCCATGCTCTATCACTGCTGTCATATATCAGCATCCAAGGCTTTGCTGAAGACCTTGGAATTATCCAAATTTGTGTTGTCCTTCCCTGAACACCGGTTCTTGCTTCTGTACCAACAGGTCCTGGAGCCAGCAGTAATCCCTGCTCTGACTCTTACCGCGGGCCCAGCGCCAACTCGGAGGTGGAAGTCAGATCCGTCGTAGATTTTATTAAGAATCATGGAAACGTCGTGGCCTTCCTCACCCTCCACAGTTACTCTCAGCTCCTCATGTACCCCTACGGCTACAAATGCACTAAACCAGCAGACTATGCAGAGCTGGTGAGACACATTGACTCCACTGCATCTCCCTCTGTCCTTCCAGCTGGCTTTCCATGCTTGAGTATTCGAGTGAGATAACTTGGTAAAAGGCCTGAATTTGGCCATCCAATCCATATGTTTGCCATACATCCACGCGTTTGCCATTCCCACTCACTGTCAGCCCTGTTCCCTCATCCCAGGCTGGCCCACATTTCCTTCTTTAGCCTAAACGGCAGCACCTGCATCTGGATTAATGTCTTTGAGGGGATATGAATCATATCATCATAGGACAACTTTGGTCTGGAGGTCCCTGCACCAGCTCTGTGCAGGCCAGCTTTGAAGTCAGAGCCAGCAAACCTAGATAAGGCTGCTCAGAGCCTGGTACATCTGAATACTGAATATTCCCAAAGATCCCTCAATTTATTCGGGCCCATTCCAAAGCTTCCCATGCTTGTGGGGATTTCCTTTATCCTAATATCTCTGTGGAATCTCCTGTGGGGCAGATTGTTTGTTGCCCCTTATCCTTCTTCTAAATGCCTCCAAGAAAACTCTAGATCCATTTTTTTCCTATACCTACCCGTTGTGTAGTTGACGTGAACACAAAGCTGAGTGTGGAGCAGTTTAAAGTCTCTGACTGCCTGGAGGTTCTCTTGCATCTTCTGAACTATTGATAAGACACTGGTTGAGATGAAACACCGGGTGATTTGATAAGGGAGCTTTCATACTAATTTGCCTGTTGTGTCTCTCCCTGGTTTTGCAGTGAGTGAAAATAGGTTGTAAACCTCTCAGGGAGGTTGGAGACTTCCCTAAACAGGGCTGAGGGTGCTGAAATCCAGACATTTTGTGTCATTAAGCATGGCTGCTTTCTGACTCCATCTTCTCCTCTCCAGGATAGCGTGGGCAAAGCTGCTGCCAATTCCATCCGTTCCCTGTATGGCACCACCTTTAAAGTGGGGAGCATTTGCTCCACTATCTGTGAGTATTTCACCATTTAGAGCTTTATGGGTTATCCCAAGGAAAAAAAAAAAAGGACACTCTGGTCTTCCCCAAGGTCTTTGACCCACCAAGTCCCCCTTGGAAGTAGTGCTGCTTCAGCAGAGCAGCACCCCCAGTCAGATACTGCCAGCTCAGTGTTCACACTAAAGCCTAGTCCTTGTTTCCCTCACAAATATTCACAGAATCCCAGGATGGCTGAGGCTGGAAGGGACCCCCAGGGCTCCCCCAGCGCAGCCCCTGCTCCAGCAGGGACACCCAGAGCACGGGGCACCCGGGCGCATCCCGGCGCGCTGGCAGATCTGCAGAGCAGGAGCCTCCGCAGCCTCCCTGGGCAGCCTGGGCCAGGGCTCGGGCACCCTCCCACCAAACAAGTTCCTCCTCACGGCCACGTGGAGCTGCCTGCGCTGCAGCTTGGCCCCAGGGCCCCTTGGCCTGCCACTGGCCACCACCCACAAGAGCTCGGCCCTTCCTCCCTCCATCCTCCCCTCGGCTGCTTGCACACACTGACCAGGTCCCCTCTCGGCCTCCTCCAGGCCCTTCCTCATCCTTGCTGCTCTATTACCACCATAAAGCTCTCTCCTGGAGAGCATCCTCTCAATGTCACAAGCCCCAAAGCAGGAATCTTTCCTTGCACATGGCCCCATCCTGAGAAATTCCCAGCACTTTCAGCACCAACTGGCACTGGTAGCTGGGAATGCTGCATGGAAGCGTAACCCAGACCAACCCTCCATGCCTCTCTTGGGGCTTTTTCTCCCTTTCTCTTTCAGACCAAGCCAGTGGAGGCAGCATTGACTGGAGCTACGATTACGGCATCAAATACTCCTTTGCCTTTGAGCTGCGGGACACTGGTAATTACGGCTTCCTCCTGCCCGCAAGCCAAATCATCCCAACGGCGGAGGAGACCTGGCTGGGCCTGAAGACCATCATGGAGCACGTGCGAGACAATCCATACTAGAAGTCAGGATGGGAATCAGCTGTCTAAATTCTCTTCTTCTCTTGAGACAGCTGTAACTGCATGGCACGGGGTTGAATAAAAAGCAAAGCGTGTCTGTGTGTGAAGAGTTTCATGCAACCTTTGGGTTCTCTGCACTTGGGCTTGAGTGCTAGACTCTTCACAAGGTGTCACAGATTGTAGGACCCAGTCAAAACTAAGAGGCCCTGTGGTCATCCACCTCGATGAGACCTGGTAGGAGCAGTGATGAAAAGAGAGCAAGGTGGGAGATGTGACTGCTCCTGTGACAAACTGCTACTGAGATTTACAGATGACTTCTAGATAGCAAAAGAACCTCGTCCTTTCACAGAATCACAGAATATTCAAGGTTGGAAGGGACCTCTAGAGATCATCTAGTCCAACCTTCCCACTCCAGCAGGCACACCTAGAGCATGTGGCACAGGGTGGCATCCAGGCGGGTTTTGAAGACCTCCAGAGAAGGAGACTCCACAACCTCCCTGAGCAGCCTGTTCCACTGCTCTGTCACCCTAACAGTGAAGAAGTTGCTCCTCACCTGGAGATAGAACTTTCTGTGTTTCAGCTTATGGCCATTTCCCCTTGTCCTGTCACTGGCCACCACTGAGAAGAGCTTGTCCCCTTCTTCCCTGCATTCTCCCTTCCTGAACTTATACATGTACATGTATATATACATGTACTTATACATGTCCTTTACCCACCTAGACGAACAGGTTGCTATCCAAGGGCTCTTCAACCAGTGCAGAGGCTGGGGAAAGAATTAAAATATAAAAAGAGGGTGACGGGTAAAGCTCTGTTTGGAGAGGAGGCATCTGGCCTGTCATCATAGCCTGTGACTGCACCTGCGTCCAGGTGACTCCACTGCAGCTATGTCTGTTTTAGTAGATAAGGACCCAGAATGAATCCTGGGCACCACAATGTGTGGTCTGTCTGTTGAACTTACACCCAGGTGTGATTTCAACCCTATTCCAACTCCGATGATTCATGGTGCCATGAAGATTTAAGTTACTAGGAGAGACGGTCTATGTGCAAGTGCCATAGGACGTAGGACCCTGCAGAGGCCTCAGGTTCAGAAAGGAGCTAGCGCAGGGGTGAAGGACACTTTGGAGCTTGTTGAAAAACAAGATCCAGCCCCAACCTCTGCCTGAAGACGCTGACTGCTGAGGGTGCCCTGGGGTGACCTCACTGCTTGTCCTGGCCCTCTCCTCACTCCCAAGGTTTGGCCACCAGGCATGAGCAGAGAGAGGACCACGATGGTAGGACCATTGACCCAGCATGGCCAAACATGAACATCCCGCAGGCCCCATACGGGTGGGTGCCCGTGTTGTGTTTTCCAACCCCCAATTTCTCAGGGCTCATGAGCCCCCGTCTCCTGGCCTTGCTCCCGAACCACCAACACGTCAGCCCTGCCCGTGGCGCAAGCGCCAGCAGGTCTGACCGGCTTATCTTGATGTCCTCCGCTTCCCCCAGCAGCTGGTGAGCTCCTCACGCCCCCGGGAGCGCGGCTGGAAAACAAACACACCCCGAGCGGGCGACACGTAGGGCCAAGTATGCAGGGAAAAGCAGGTGAAGGTGCAGGGTCCTCCATGCGGGCCGGGCACACGGCCACAGGGAGCCTGGGTGAAAGGGACCTTCTGGCCACGCTCCTGCTCAAGTCAAACATCTGCCAGTCGCTCCCGCTGGTGACTCCAGAATGGTGCCGTGTTTCCAAACTGACCCATTCTCCCATGGCTTGTTGGAGAATCCAGATCCATCGGAGCTGCTGCCTCTCCGACCCTGTGAGTGGCAGGGACGGTCATAGGCAGCCACCACAGGCACCTTCACACTGGCAGGACTTCAGCTCTGCCCCTGAAGCTCCACCAGGCAGAGACCACCTGAGCTTCCAGGTCGTCTTGTCCCTCCTCTTCTAAGCACATGCCTTGATGACAACGGCATCCAGTTTTGGGAGTCTTGCTTCCAGAAAGACACTGATAATCCAGAGTGAGTTGAGTGGAGTCCACCAACATGGCCAGCAGCTGGATCAGGAGCTCAAGGACCTGGATTGGCTCAACCTGGAGAAGAGGTATATGAGCAGCACTCCCATAGTCACCACAAGGTTATTGAGAAGATGGAGCCAGGCTCTTCATGGCGGTGCATCATGGGGTGAGACACAAGAGCATCTGCTGAAGATGTCCAGGCTGGATATAAGCAGAGGCCTTTCCACCATGACAACAGCCCAGCAGTGGTCCAGAGAGCTTGTGCAGTCTCCATCCGTGAAGAGTTTCAAGATCCAGCAAGATAAGGTCCTGAGTAACGTGGTCTGATCCTGCTTTGGGCAGGTGGTTGGACTAGAGACCTCCTGAGGTCCCTTCCATCCTGAATTATCCCTATGATCCTAACATCTTGCCTAAAAAGAGGACTTCCTTCCCCATGATCCAGGTCCCCACAGCTTGTCCCGGGTGTGTGGAGCCCAGTGGCTCCCAACAGCGCTGTCCGAGGACAAGCTCAGAGATGCCACCATGGATGCGCATGGGGGTTCCTGGCAGGAATCACCCAAGAGCTCGTGTATTGTGAAGCCATAAGGGACACCCCGCATGTCCCTAACTCCTTCCCTCTGCTGTGCAGGGAACTTGGGACCTCGCACTCCTGCTGGGATGAGGCAGGGCATGGGAAAGCCACCCCGCAGCAGAGCTGGGGCCTCCAGGAGGATGTTTTCAGCACCGCTCTGACTTGACGCCTCCTTTATCTGCTTCTCCAAATAAAGCACACGGGCTTTTTTGGCTCCCGGGAACTGTTCCTCGCTTATCTGTTTGCTGTGTACCCACCGGCCTGGCGTGGGCAGCAGATGTGGCCTTGGCGGGAAGGTCCCTGAGGTGCCCCGGGAGGACATCCGGGGGCTATAAAGGTCCTCGGGGGCCGAGGCAGGGCCACATCGGCCACCATGTGGGTCCTCCTGCTCGTCGCGGCCCTCACGGCTGCTGCCTGCGGCGAGGAGCAATTCGTGGGGTGAGTCCGGCCAAAGCGGGAGGAGGTGGCGGTGGGGACGGCGGGAGATGCTCATGGCTGGTGAGGCTCCTCGTGCAGCCTTGGGATGGAGGCCCCACCACCAAAGTCCCCGCTTTGACACCTGCGTGGAAACACGGTGGTGATGAATCTTCCGGAGCCACCCCCAGGAGCTCCCCTTTTGCTCTCCTCTTCCCGCAGAGACCAGGTCCTGCGCGCCGTGGCGGGCGATGAGGCTCAGCTCGCCCTGCTCCGCGCCCTGGGTGACCAGGAGGAGCTGCAGGTGAGCGCCCATCGCCCTGGCGTCTGGGCTGCGCTGGCCAGGTCTCATGCTCATGGCCAGCTCCATCACGGACAGGGTTCCTCCTACCCCCAAGCACGTCTAGGCCACAGCATTGAGGAACACAACCTGCCAAGAAGCCCCCATCCCACCTTCAGTGTCCAATTGAGCTCAGATGGAACCATGTTTCTCACCCCAGGTGCCGGTGGCCACTAAATGTAGGCCATGATTAGCCACAGTTTTCCCAGTGAAGCTGCCCAGTTGTCCCCATGTGGTTCCCCAGTGCCCTTGACAGAAGATTTCGAGGTGCTGCTGGAGTCACCCTCCCTCTTCCCCGCTCCAGGTTGACTTCTGGCGCGGCCCCACCAAACCCAGCCACCCCACCGACCTCAGGGTCCCTTTCCGGAACCTCCAAGCCGTCAAAAGCTTCCTTGAGGCCAACGACGTTGCCTACAGCGTCATGATCGAGGATGTGCAGGTGAGCGGGATGCAGCTCCTCACCTCCATCCCATGAGAGGTGCTGGGCAGGGAAGGAGAAGATGGAAACCAAAGGCCAACTCCAGTTGACTTTACCAAACAAACACCCAATGAGTGGGAAAAACGTGGTCCCTTCAGGAGGACACGGGTTCCTCGGGGTGGGATGGAGGCCGCGGTTGACTTCTCCCAACCAGGAATTGCTCAACGAGGAGAAGAGGACCATGGCACTGTCCCGGCGGCTGCAGAGGAGCACGGACACCTTCGACTTCGCCTCCTACCACACGATCGAGGAGGTGGGTGGCCCGGCGCGTGGCCACGCTGCAGCGGGTGACAACGGAGGTGACATCTCCCCTCTCCCCGGCAGATCTACGAGTGGATGGAGCAGCTGGTGGCCGAGCACCCCAGCCTGGTCACCAGGCTGCAGATCGGGCAGAGCTACGAGAAGCGGCCGCTCTACGTGCTGAAGGTGGGTGCCGTGGGCAGCACCGTGGGGACCGAAGCCATGCCCAAGTGCAGGCGTGTGCAAGCTCGCACGTGCATGCACAGGCCTGCACAGAAGTGCACAGGCATGTACATGCATGCACAAGCTCACACATGCATGCACAAGCCTGCACAGAAGTGCACGTGCATGCACACACATGCACAAGCTCACATGTGCATGCACAGGCATGCACAGAATTGCACATGCATGTACATGCATGCACAAGCTCACATGTGCATGTACAAGCTTACACAGAGTGCACATGCATGCACACACATGCACAAGCTCTCATGTGCATGCACAGAGCTGCACAGAAGTGCACATGTGTGCACACACATGCACAAGCTCACACATGCAGGTACAAGCTTGCACAGAATGCACATGCATGCACAAGCTCTCATGTGCATGCACAAACCTGCACAGAAGTGCACGTGCATGCACACACATGCACAAGTTTGCACAGTTTGCACAGAATTGCACATGAATGTACATGCATGCACAAGCTCACATGTGCAGGTACAAGCTTGCACAGAGTGCACATGCATGCACACACATGCACACGCTCGCATGTGCATGCACAAGCCTGTACAGAAGTGTGCACATGCATGCACACATGAGAACAAGCCTGAACGTGCTTGCACAAGTCTGTACAGAAGTGCACACGCACGCACAAGCTCACACATGTGTGGAGAAGCCTGCACAGAAGTGCACATGCATGTACATGCATGAGGACAACCCTGCCCGTGCATGCACAGGTCTAGATGTGCATGCTCAAGCCTGCACACAAGTGCACCAGTCTGCATGTGCATGCAAAAGCCTGCACAAGTGGGCCAAGGTGTGCACATGCATGCACAACCAGCACACGCATGCGCATGCACCCACAGGCATGTGTAAGTCTGCGCACAGGCGCACAAGTCTGCAGCGGCGTGCACACGCATGGGCGTGTGAGCACAAGTCTGCACGTGCATGCACAGGCCTGCACATGCATGCAAAAGCCTGAAAACTAGTGCATAAGGCTGCACAAGTGTGCCTGAGTTTGCATATACGGCCACACGCATGTGCACAAGTATGTGGGTGCATGAGCAAGCCTGCACAGGGTGCAAAAGCCTGCAAACACACACCTTGACGTGCACAAGCTTGTACATATGTATTCAGAAGCCTGCACACGTGTGTGCAAGCTGGCACGTGTGTGCACAAGCCTGCACACACTTGTCCAGCGTGCACATGTGAGCACAAGCTGGCTTATGCATGCACAGGCCTGCACACAAGTGCATAACGCTGCACAAGCATGCCTCAACCTGCATGTGCATGCACAGGCGTGCACATGCATGCAGATATGGCCACAAGCCCGGGCACACATGCACGAACCTGCACACACGTGCCCATGCATGCAAAAGCCTGCACGAGCAAGGCGTGCACGCGCATGCACGCGCTTGCAGGCACGCACACAAGCTTGCAGCTGCATGCACAAGCGTGCACGCCCTTGCACACGCGTGCACGAACCTTGCACACGCGTGCACACGCGTGCGCAGGGGCGGGCGCTGACGGGCCGTGCTCCCTTTGCAGTTCAGCACGGGCGGCTCGGGCCGCCCCGCCATCTGGCTCGACACCGGCATCCACTCACGCGAGTGGATCACTCAGGCCACCGGCGTGTGGACGGCCAACCAGGTAGGCGCCGGCGCGGCCCCTCCGGCAGCGCCTGTCACCCACGTCCGGGAGGTTGTCACCGTGTTGGCTCCTGTAGGAACCTCTGGGGATGGGAGCTCCAACCTCCCTGGGCTTCCCCCGGTGATGGCCAAGAGTTTCCCCAACTTGGTCTTGGGGTTTGGACCCTTCCAAAGAGACCTCTTTGGTCTCTGGCCGTCCCATCATGTGCTCAAGTTGGGTTCAAGGTGGCTCCTTCTGCTCCTCACGCCATGCAGATAGCCAAGGAGTACGGCAAGGACCCCACCGTGACCGCCATCCTGGACAACATGGACATCTTCTTTGAGATAGTCACCAACCCCGATGGCTTCGCTTACACCCAGACCACTGTAAGTGCCTCGTTGGGAGAAGAAACCTCGTCCTATCCCCCAACCGCTGCAGTGCGGTTGTGGATGCCCCACCACGCATGGTGGACACCACAGTTTTGGGTGGAGAGGAGTCCCAGGGTTGCTCCTTCCCTCCTGCGACATTGCCTCAGAATGGAGGAAGCTGCCAGAGTGGGTCGGTGGAGACCGGGCTCATCCCTTCATTGGTGACATCCCAACGTGAGACCTGACCTGGTGGTCTGGGCTTTGGGCCCACCAGTGACAGCCTCTCCTGTGCTTGCTCCTAGAATCGCATGTGGCGAAAGACGAGGTCCATCAACGCCGGCTCCTCCTGCGTCGGCGTGGACCCCAACAGGAACTGGGACGCGGGTTTCGGAGGTAGGGTGCTGGTGTGTGGGTGCTGGTGCTGCTGAACACCCCTGATGTTGAGGGGGTGTCACCTTCTCCAAGCCCGTGGTGGCCCCAGCGCCGTGGTGGCCCCACGGTGAGCGGGTGTCCCCTCACCGGCTGTCCCAGGCCCCGGCTCCAGCAGCAACCCCTGCTCCGAGACCTACCACGGCCCCTACGCTCACTCGGAGAGCGAAGTGAGATCCATCGTGGACTTCATCCTGCGCCATGGCAACGTGAAGGCCGTCATCTCCATCCACAGCTACTCGCAGATGCTCATGTACCCCTACGGCTACAAGGCGGAGCCGGCGCCCGACCACCAGGAGCTGGTGAGGAGGCCGCGTCGCCCCGGGGTGCCCAGGCGGCCGCGGGGCGCCCGGCCAGGCCCTCACGGCCGCCCGTGGGGTGTCCTTCTTGCAGGACGAGCTGGCCGCCAAGGCCGTGCGGGACTTGGCCGCCGTGCACGGCACCCGCTACACGTACGGCAGCATCAGCGACACCATCTGTGAGTGTCCCCATCACCCACCCCCTGCCATGGAGTACTGTGGAGTACTGTGTCACGTCTGGAATACTGTGTCCAGTTCTGGGCTCCCCAGGACAAGAGGGATGTGGAGCTGCTGGAGAGAGTCCAGCGCAGGGCTACCAGGATGATCAGGGGCCTGGAACATCTGCCCTCGGAGCAAAGGCTGAGGGAGCTGGGCCTGTTCAGCCTGGAGAAGAGGAGGCTGAGGGGGGACCTGATCAGTGTCTGTAAATACCTCAAGGGAGGGAATGAGGAGAACAGGGCTGACCTCGTTTCAGTGGTGGCCAGGAATAGGACTAGAGGAAACGGCCACAAGCTGAGGCACCAAAAGTTCCACAGGAACTTGAGAAAACACTTCTTGACAGTGAGGGTGCCAGAGCCCTGGCACAGGCTGCCCAGAGAAGTTGTGCAGTCTCCTTCTTTGGAGATCTTTAAAACCCACTTGGACGCAGCCCTGTGCCCCGTGCTCTGGGTGACCCTGCGTGAGCAGCGGGGTTGGACTAGATGACCTCTGAGGTCCCTTCCAACCTTAAGCATTCCATGATTCTATGGCGGTGACGTCCTCCCGTCCCCCTCCTCCCCCAGACCCGGCGGCCGGCACCACGGTGGACTGGGCGTACGACAACGGCGTCAAATACTCCTACACGTTCGAGCTGCGCGACACGGGCCGCTACGGCTTCCTGCTGCCCGCCAGCCACATCGTGCCCACGGCCACCGAGACGTGGCCGGCGCTGCTGGACATCATGGAGCACGTCCTGCGTCACCCCTACTGAGCGGGGTGCCCGCCGCGGCCGCGAATAAACCCGCCTTCGCCCTACGGCTCCGGCCGGGCTCCGTCTCGTCCCGAGGGAGGCAGGAACCGGATCGGGGCCCCCGGGGGGGACTCGGCGGCGCCAGCTGCGCCGTTCCCGGGCCCGTGGGAAGCGGGGCGGCTGTGGGGCGGCCGCGGCGCCTTCAAAAGCGGCCCGCGGGCCTCGCGGCGCCGGCGCTGAGGGAACATGAGGGCCCTGCTGCTGCTCGCGGCGCTGGCGGCCGCCGCCGCCGCCACCGGCGTGGAGACCTTCGTCGGGTAAAGCCGGGGGGCATTGGGGGCTGGGAACCGGTCTGGTTCCCCCCACACCGGGCCCGGGGCAGCGTCTCGCGCCCCGCCGCCGCGGTGAGGGCCTCTTGGGAGCCCAAGGGAAACCGAGGCACCGTGCGGGGCTGGGGGGGCAGCCAGGGTGCCCCCCGGCCGGCAGGCGCTGACCCCCGCGGCCCCGCAGGCACCAGGTGCTGCGCGTGGTGCCCGGCAGCGCGGCCGAGCTGCGGAGCCTGCGGGAGCTGCAGGAGCTCGAGCACCTGCAGGTACCGGCGCCGCGATGGGGGCCGGGGCGGCGCGAGTCGCGGTGACACCGCTGGGGAGGGGGACAGAAACAGTATTTAAAACATGTGTGTATAAATACACTTAAAAATATTATATATATATATGCACACATATATATACACTTTAAAAATATATACATACACATACAGACATATACACATATATATAACACTCATATATCCACACATACAGACATATATATACACTCATATATACATTTTAAAAATATATACATATATATATGCATATACACATATACACACACATATACACTTTAAAATGTATACTGTATATACATATATATACATATATACACTCATATATACACGTTTAAAGTATATACATATATATACACATATACATATTTACATATATCCACACATATATACACATTAAAATATATACTATACTGCATATACTATACTGTAAGTATATACTAAATATATACTACACTATATATAGTATATATAGTGTATAGTAGGCATACTATATACTATATATACTATATACTATACACTATATACTGTACTATATACTATACTACTATATATTACTATATATACTACTATATATACACTTTTAAAAATACAGACTATATTTATGTATATACTTATATATACACACACACATATATACACACATATGTACACATTTAAAATATATACATATACATACATATATATATATACACACACACACACACATATATTGCAAGGGGGCTGGAACGTACCACACCTGGGGAGGTCGGAAGGTGGTGGCCGGGATCGCGGTGGCCAAAATGGGGGCGAAACGCCCCAAAGCGGGAGAGTCCCCAGCGCCCTCGCGCCCTTCGCCACCCTCCACAGCTGGACTTCTGGCTGCTGCCGCGCGGCCCCGGGGCGCCCGTGGACGTGCGGGTGCCCTTCGCCAGCCTGCAGCCCGTCAAGGCCCACCTGGAAGCCCGCGGCGTGCCCTACTCCATCATGATCGAGGATGTGCAGGTGAGCGGCGCCGCCGCCGCGGGGTCCCCTACCCATTTTGGGGTGTCTGGGATGTGTCCCCGCCGAGCGCCGGGCTCTGCTGTGTCCCGCAGGCGCTGGTGGACAGGGAGCAGATGCAGGCGACGCGCCGGCGGCTCCTGCCCACATCCACCACCACCTTCAACTACGCTGCCTACCACACCCTGGACGAGGTACTGGCAAGCCCAGCCAGGGCTTCGCTTTGGTGGTAGGAGATGGTGGAATTGGGGGCATGCGGCACCACGAACCTCCTGCCGCCTTCTGCCCGCAGATCTACGCCTTCATGGACCTGCTGGTGGCTGAGAACCCCAGCCTGGTCAGCAAGTTGGAGATCGGCCGCTCCACCGAGGGCCGCCCCATCTACGTGCTCAAGGTGAGATGGTGGGACGGGATCCAGGCGCTGGCGTCCACGAAAAAGGGAGACCTTTGTGATTCCCAACCTTGTGGACTTGCAAATGGGGAGATGTGGCATTTGCGCCACGTTGGCCAACAAGGGTGTCTTAGGGCCAACAGGGGTGTCTTAGAGCCAACAGGGACGTTTTAGAGCCAACAAAATCCTACAAGGGCAAGAAAGTAACTTGATTTCCCCCTGATTCTCGTGTTTCTCTCCCCTCACGGCTGCCCTCTGCTCCCACAGTTCAGCAAGGGCGGCACGAAGCGCCCGGCCATCTGGATCGACACCGGCATCCACTCCCGTGAGTGGGTGACCCAGGCCAGCGGCGTCTGGTTCGCCAAGACGGTAGGGCCGGCGGGACGGGAGGCGACGGGGATGGGAGAGGCCAGAGGCGGGTGCTGTCCTCACGTCCCGGTTCCTCCAGATCGCTGCGGAGCACGAGAGCGATGAAGTCTTGGCCTCCGTCCTCGACAAGATGGACATCTTCCTGGAGATTGTCACTAACCCCGATGGCTTCGTCTTCACCCACACCAAGGTGGTGGCGGCAGCAGGGAGCCAGGAGCACACATGGGTGCTGCTCGTCCCTGTCCTTGAACGTCCCTGTCCCCACAGAACCGCATGTGGAGGAAGACCCGGTCCTCGCACTCGGGTGCCCTCTGTGTCGGGGTCGACCCCAACCGCAACTGGGACGCGGGCTTTGGAGGTCAGTGGCTTTGTGCCTGGGGAAGGGATGGGCGCCATGAGGGGTTGGGACGTGGGTTTGGGCTCCACCAGGACCATGGAGCATCTCATGCGTGTCCCCTACCACAGCCAAGGGCCAGCAGAGCTTTTGGGCTCCTGTCTTGGCCACTGCAACTCCTGGGGCCCCTGAGCTGGGCCACCAAAGCAGCTCTCTGCATGTCCCATTCTGTCTCCTTCTCCTCGCAGGCTCGGGCTCCAGCGGGAACCCCTGCTCGGAGACGTACCGCGGGCCCTACGCGAACTCGGAGCCCGAGGTGAAGGCCATCGTGGACTTCGTGAAGGAGCACGGGAACATCAAGGCCTTCGTCTCCATCCACAGCTACTCGCAGCTCCTGCTCTACCCCTACGGCTACACGACCACCCCTGTGCCCGACCGGGAGGAGCTGGTAGGGAGGGCGCAGGGGGACACTGAGCCTTGTTCTCCTGCGAGGTGACTCTGAGCCACCTCCTCTCAGGTGGCCTCATCACCCTGGGCTGAACGTTTCCCAGACGGGCAGTATCCACATGTGCTGAGCGGCCACCACCCAGTGCATCCACCAAGGCCCACGGGCTGCTCTGGTGTCCCCAGGCCTGACTTCCTCCCCTTTGTCCCGCTCACCCGTGTCCCTTTGGTGTCTTCTCCACAGCACCAGGTTGCTGAGAAGGCCGTCGCGGCTCTGTCTTCCGCCTATGGGACTAAGTTCAAGTACGGCAGCATCATCACGACCATCTGTAAGTAACCCAGGGGTGTCTACGGGGAGACACCCCTTGAGGGAAAGGTCCCAGCACGGTGGGACACGTCCCCAAGGGCGACATCAACTAAGGACCACGCAGAGCGACTAACGTGTTGCCTCCGTTGGCCGCATTTAGACCAGGCGAGCGGAGGAACCATCGACTGGACCTACAACCAGGGCATCAAGTACTCCTTCACCTTCGAGCTGCGCGACACAGGCCGCTACGGCTTCCTGCTGCCCGCCAGCCAGATCCTGCCCACGGCCCAGGAGACCTGGCTGGCGCTGCGGGTCATCATGCAGCACGCGCACGACCACCCCTACTGATGGGGAGCTGGCCACGAGCGGCCACCATGCAATAAATAAACACAAGGGTGGAGGAGAAACCTCCTCCTGGGCTCTCCCTCTCTGGTCTTGTCTGTTTTATTGCTGCCAGGTGCTGTGACGATTGCAGTGGAAAGTGGCACTTTTCTCCGTAGGGTTCCTTCTCCTGCTCCCTGGATATGGGCTACAAGAAGGCCAAGAGCTTCTGGGAAAGGCAGGGAAAGCGGTGGGTTCCTAAGGGCTCAGGAGCCCCATAAATCACTCCCATGTTGCCTTGGGCAAGGGAGGTCCCACCATGGTTTCTTCCAACCCAAGCTCTGCCAGGAGGTTGTGGTGGGACGTGAAGGTGCAGAACCACCACAAAGGTCTGCCCTCCCCAGCTCCTTGGGTTTCCTGCCCCTGCTGCTCCAACGTTGCTGTCGAGTCTTCAACACTCAAAGTGAAACGAGGCATCCACAGGGTGTCACGGGCTTTTTATTAAATTAAACAATTAAAAGTGCCAGACTAGATAGAGCTTCTCCCTCCCCCTCCAACCACGTGCAAGGCAGAAGATGCCAAAAACCCCACACATCCATCGAGATGATGCATTCCCAAGATGATTCCCAAGCAAGACGACGGGAAGGTGCAAGGTGCTTCTCCTTCGATGCCCAGGACTGAGGGTCTTGAACAGCTCAGATTAGTTTGTCCCTTTGGTTCGGAAGGTTTTGTGGAGCCTGGAGCAGCCAGGGATTTCATCCGCTCTCCAGCAGCAGGGCTTGGTGACCGCTACTCGCCTCTCTTCTTACCTGGGTGCCTTTTAGGCTCGGAAGTGCTGTTGCAAACGCGAGCAAGTGCCCACGGAGATGAAATGTCCCCCAGAAAGGTCCCTAGTTTCAGCACGTGGCAACTGCTCTCACCTCTCCCGTATCGTTTTCTGGGCACAAGGGCACAGCCGAGCTGCCCCGTTGAGGTATGGACTGAATTATGGTTGAGGTGCCACCGAGTTTGGGTTTCTCCTGCCACCCCGCACCATCAGGATACTGAGGTCTGCTAACACTTGGCTGTGTCAAAAGGAAGGGAAACCGCCCAAAACCACGCACAAAAAAGCACAAAAACAAGAAGTCAAAGCTGGGCTTTGTCTCTCTCTCTTTGATCTCTTTGGCTCTCTGCTTTGCTGGCAAAGGCATAACCAGGAGCAACCCTCAAGCCTCTACGAGGCACTGTGGAGGACACTGCAAAAAGGACTACGGCAGCTGGCCCTACCTTAGGAGAAGTCAACTACAGTCCCCAGCACGTCCGATGTGTCACAGCATCATCTCCTTCAGAAACCGAACCACCACACAGTCGTTTTCTCCATAATCATAGCGAGGAACGAAGCAGAAAAGCACAATCGTAAGTCAAACAGTGCAGAAAATGCCGAGAGGGAAACCAAGTTATCACTTTCAAAAATACCGAACTATTTCACAAACGTCCACAGGTAAAATTCACCGTCAGGTTACAGTGCTACACCAGGCATTATTTCCCCCCCTCCAAATACCTCTCGTACAAATACTTTTACAAATGTAGTATTTTAAAAAACGATGGAACCTTCTGTCCATCATTTTGGCGGTGTGCGGAATCGCTGCTAGCAGACACGGAGGGTTTTGCTCACGGATGATTTTGGGCCCATTTACCTTCTCACGCACTCGCACGTCAGCACAGTCCAGGGTTTCGGTCGCAGCGCCAAGGGCAGATTCGTTACGGACACAAATTCCTTCAGGCTGAACTACAAACTGTTCCTACTGGTACCAGGCTTTACTCCCAGCTTCCTCCCTCCCCTAGGAACCACTTGTGCCAACACTGTCCTGACACTGCACGTGCAGGTGACCCTGATCGGAGCCAAACCGCTCCAGCTCCTGTGAAGCATCATCCAGTCCAGCTCCCCCAGCCGAACCCGAGCTGCCACTTTTTGCGCCGCTGCTGCTTTTCGTTGCAGATTCCTAAAACGACAAAAGGGCCGCACTGCTCACGCTTCCCAGAACCTGGACACTGGTTTATTCGGCTGAAAGAGACACCGCCGCCTATTTCCACGGCCTGTTCTGGAGGCTGCTGCTGCTGAGCGAGCGGGCGGCGAGCGACGTGGCCGAGCCCGTGGCGCCGGGGAGGCTGTGGTTGCTCCTCGCCGCGCTCGCCTTAGAATCGCGCCCCGAAGAGCCACGGCTTAGACGGCCTGTGGGGGAAAAAAAGAGATGGGGAAGCCACATGTGGTCGTGCCCGTGATGGGGCACCAATGTGCCCTAACAAAAGGCCTAAATAACTGCAAAAAATTACCAGCCACCAGGGCAACCTAATGGCCTTTCAAGCTACAGGATGGCAGACCCTAGCTTGAAAAGAGACCCTAACTTTCCAGAGAAACCCTATAGGGTTTCGCTATCACGTAGCTATACAAATCCTGTGCGATCAGTGGGAGGCACAAGTTTTAGTGCAGCTTCCCCATGAGCTTTGAAACACCCCTCCTCCTCCCAGCAATATCCTGGGAAGAAAGGCTCCAGCAAAGCAGAGAGCTGCTGCCAGGCAGGCTCGGGAGCTACAGAAAGCAATTGCAGCAACAGCAAGGGAGTCTTACTGGCAGTATCTGAAGGAATCTGCTCTTCTTCTAGGTAATACTTCATCTTTTGTAGATCATCTGCAGTAAATCTCCATTTATTCTCAGCACGTGCGGGCGGCGCTTTGGGGGCGGCCTTTTTTCGGGCTGATCCAGTGGGAGCTGCCGACTGGCAGGACGCCGGGAGCGAGCCCGTGACCAGCCCTTCGGGGATCTTCTGCGCGAGCACCTTGAGGCCTGCAGACACATGGAGCACACGTCATCAGCGACCCCCAGCTACGGGGGCCAAGATGGGACTGGTGATTTTACCACAAAACCCTTGATGGAGCTGAACGTCAAGGTCTTTTGCTGTGTCTCCAGCTATTGAGATCCCACGGTCCATTCCCACTCACCTCCAGACAACATGAACAAGTTCTCAAAGCCCCTCTCGCACATGGTCGTGGCGGCCTGGCTGGCCAGCCTCTCATCGTCGTCGTACAAAATAATTATTTTTCCATGGGCATTTTTCTGAAGGTGGAAGAGTTAAAGATCATACTTGACTCGTGAAATTAAATGATGAATATCTTTTAGAAGGAAGAGGCAAACAAATGGGACAGAGGGTAACGAATCCCTGCTGGCACACGGGATTTCCCTTCCCATCCTCCCCAAAACCCTGAAATTTTGTCACGGTGGTTGCTGGCTCTTGTTTTTCTTTTTTGTAGCTCCCCCCATGAGTCTCTCCCCAGTTCCCTTGAATCCCAGCACTTTATAAAGGATACATATTCCAGGATGTTATTGGTATATGGATTCATGGTTCTGGAGAGCGTTGCGATAGGGTACGAATGAGCTGCAGAGAGAAGAAAAAAAGAGAGAAAAGTCATTTTGTGGCAGAACACCATTGTAACATAACCAGAATACAGCTGGCACAGGCTTGTAGGAGAGCAAGAGACTTGGAAACCTGCTGAGAAAGGGATTAACATCATCTCAGTGCCCTCCGCAGGGAGGGACGTCAGTGTTTGATGAGGGCAGAGAACAAACATCAGAACAGCTATTTTTGGAAGAAGAGGTTTCCAAAAATCCTCTGCATTTGAGTCGTGGTGCTGGCCAGCAGTCAGAAAAGAGCATTTGTGTGCGAGAGATCAATGGAAAAAGGAAGAATGAAGACAGCAGGAATTCAAAAGAGAGAGTGGGACTGTATGAGCCCAGCCGACACAGGGCCGCTGGTCCTCTCTTACCTCCGACAATGTGGCACTGGTCGTAGGCATCGCGGTCCCGTACGTCCAGGAGCAGGAAGGGGCAGTCGGGATACGGCGTGTCCTTAGCCTGAGGATCCGCTTTCTTCAGCGTGTCCTTTTCTATGTCCAGCTCCCCAACGCCACTTATAACACTGCAAGAGGAAAGGGGCCGGTATGAGGGGAGCGCTCACTCCAAGAAGCCTTCCTCACCTCTTCACCACCTCAGGAGGCTTTCCAAGAGCTCCAATTCTGCAATTCCTATTCTCCAATAACTCCCATTCTCCAACTTCCAATTCTGCTTCCCAATAGCTCTTTTATGGGGTCCAGTGCAGCAAGACACCACAGGAAACAGAGCCTTTCTGTGCGTTTGTTAATGGAACCAAATCAATGAGTAGGTCACAGAAATGTTCTCACTTTTATCTACATAGTAATTCATTCTGTGGTAAAAGAGAGCACAGCCTGGCTATGTGAACACACCAAATGCCTCTGGATCAGTCAAGTCCAGATGTTCTAATCAGTGTCCTAAGTGACCACGTTGCTGTCACTACCCTCTTACTCGTTGCTAATTTGATAATTTTGGTAGATGAGCTCCAAGCACGTCGGGCATCTCAAGTCTTCTGTTGACATTTGCACAGCTAAAGCAAAGGCAGGACAGGGACAAGGCTGCCTCTTATGGCATCTCCCTGGTATCTCTGCTGATGGATTGGATTTGGAAATCGGGCTCTCATTCTCAGTCACTGGATAATCCCCTAAGACCATCAGGAAGGCACAGAACTGAATTTTCCAAAGCAGTTTATAACTCAGATTCCTGCACACAGAGAACACCAATCCTGCAAATTTGGGTTTTAACAAGAAATAGAACAGAAGCCATGAGGAACAACTTAAAATAATTAGCAGCATAAAAGCAATTATTCCTTAAGATAGGAAGACAGTTATGTATTGCTATCAGGCACCTCTGCAGCGTGGATCGATAGGACTCGCCGGCTCCTGAGTTGTTTATGAACAGAAGGGGATTCAGCAGCGCCTCCCGGGGGCTTCCTTTCCCGTTGGTCCCTGCTGTGAGTTCAGCATCTGCATCCGAGGTAGCAGAATCCCCATCTGGGGAGAGAAGAGGGGATGCAGAGTTAAAATGCTGTGGAAAAATCGAGTTTTAAGCTTGGTTTCTATTCTTAAAGTGAGTCTCTTAAAGACTTCCTTATCTTTATCCTCTTATAAGAATGACTCGCTGAGAGTCTTGCATTAGAAACAAGAACGAGACAAATGATTTTAAGGGTTCAAGGTCTCAGTTTTAAGAACACACCCAAAATGTGGCAGCGTGGTTACTTCTGATGCACATGGACCAAATTACTGCAATATGCAGCACGGGGCCTTTCTTTGCGGCATCTTCCTCACAAACCTTCCTGCTTTTATGAGCCATGCATCCCAAACTGGAATGGCTGCAGGCCAAGCCAGAGCTTAAATTATTTTTATCTTTGATTCAAAGACTTGCTGAGCAGCCCGCTAAGTCTGCCAGGACACAGTTCACAATACAACAGCGAATTACAGCCCCTTTTCTTTTGTGCTCACAATAAATATTGTTACCTTCCAGCTTCTGGATCTCCTCGTTTGTCACTTCTAAGGTTTCATCAGATAGAGAAGCAACCTGGATGGCCTGTGCGAAACAAGAGCAAACAGCAAAACCTTGATATGAATACGCTGGGGCCAGTGAAAGGCAGGGATCAGCTTAAGGAAAAAACATCCTCATGCCAAAATACATTTAACTCTATTGGAAACCTCTACGGGACTCCAAGGTCGAGCCTAGGTGTCCGTGTGAGGCCATATTGCAGGTCTGTCTTTTTACTGAAGTTGTAGCAAAAAGAAAGACCATAGAATCTGTGAATAAAGAAAATCCTGACGTACCTGTTGGCCAAAATGAACACCAGAACTTTACCTTTAATGCCTATAATATTTGTGAGCTTAGCCTTTCCTTTTCTTCTCACCCTGAAGGAATTTTCTCCTTTTTTTTTCCGATTTATATGAATTTTCTTGCACCAGCATATGAGCAAACATCTCTATTTCCATTTCTTTTTAATATTTTGATTCACTATGCACTACTTGTTTAAATTAAAAAAAAAATACATAAAGCTTTGAAGCTTTGAAGCCACCACCTTCCTGCCTGCTGCTGCTAAGAGCTTCATGCGGCGGTACCTGACACAAAGCTCCACGAGATCTGATTCGAGTATTACTTTACACAGCCCTTTTCTTTGGTAAGAGGCTTCAAGATCCTCTTAAGTGAATAATAGTGATAGGATTGGATTTTTGAAGCCCACAGAATCGTTGCAAACTTCCATTTCTAGCTAAAAGCATTTGGCTCTTCTGAAAACACGGGTTACATGGAAAACATCATATATGGTTTTATGGTAGGACTGGCATAAAAGAAGCTGTAGGAGAATCCATTTATAAAAACCATATACTACTAAGGCTATGTAAGTGTATATAAGGTTTCAGAGCACAAATGCTGTGAATAAGAGACATGGTGACTTTAGAAAGCACAGGGAAAAGAGCTATACGTACCAGTTGGGCAAAAGTGGTCACCTTCAGTCTTTTAAAGAGCTCGTCCTTCTTGTACCTGTAATCTTCAAGCACAAAACAGAAGGGGACAGGGTCATTTGTCACAGAATGGCCAGGTTTTGCCAGTAGCAAGTGAATGTGACTCTAAGCAGAGACTTTTTCCCCTACATATGATAGAAATGGAGCAGATGGATTTAGTTGCTTCTAAACCCAGGCCTGTATTTGATGGTGCTTCCTTCTCTCACCTTCCCTACTGGTCCAGCGCTGTCGCAAAGTCTCTTAAATCAAAAGATAAAGTGCTGATAATGTGGATTTTTGTGTAATTTCCAGCAGAATCAGAGCATAAGTGTGTTGTACCTCTGACTGTGTTTTTCTTAAATATCACCCAGTGGTATTATAGAAAACGACACTGATTAAAGCCTCTAGGTTTTCTTGCTTTACCTGGAAACGAAATTTGGAATCCTACAAGTCCTTATCATCATTGAGAGAAGGGCATGGGTGCCAGCTCGAAGCACACACAATCACTACAGACAACCTGGGCTCTCTGAACCCTCAGCTTGAGACTTAGCAAGAAAACTGAGCAGTTTGTTCAAAGCACTGGCGGAAAAAAACCCCTCAAAATTGGCAAAAAAGAAAAAAAATTCACCAAAATTGGCAAAAAAAAAATCCAAAGCAGTGATTAGTGTTGAGGGAGTGGTGACAAGGAGGGAAGTCTGCCTCTGCACAGACACTTGAGAATTTTTAATATTAAAATACTAAATTTTGCACTAACAGGGAAATTTATGGGGGATGAACAAGCCCTTCCCAGTACAAGGCACTGCAGTTGTAACAAAATTCAGCCTGTGTCTCCTTAAGCTGCTGGAAGCCGTCCTTTAATTAAGCGAATTAACCTAAATCCCCTTAAATATTTTTTTCCCCATTTGCTTCTCCATTTTTCCCTCCTCCCTCATCAGGCCCTTCCTCTAAGGTCACGCTTTTTCTTTTTCTTTCCCTAAATACGAGGAATTCTTTGCATTTTCCTAATAATTTTAATAACTGTTGGCGGCTATTCCATGCTGGTTGCTCTCCAGCTCTTTGGCTAAGAAGGCTAATACTGGACTCCAGGACCTTAATCAGATCCAGACAATTAAGTAAGTCTAAATCCAACCATCTGTTGACTGCTCCGGAGCTTAAAGTGAAGAAAGATGGGGCAGGGGGAGGAGGTGAAGGGGCTCCAATCCATATCTCTATGGAAAACAGACCCTAAATCACACTAAAGTTAGCTTAGGGAATGTCTCCAGTTCATGTCTTTTTTGGGAAGGAGTCGAGCAAGCCCTGGAGGCTCCAATCCCTTCCCAATCCCTTCCCAATCCCTTCCCAATCCCAGCATTTCCAAGCAAGCAGGAACCCCAAATTCAGCACCTTCTACAGCAAAACGGCGGGTGGTTTCCACCCGCTTCAAACACGGGTATTTATTGCAGAACAAGCCGTTCTGACCTGGATCTCTGCTTTTCCACCCGGAATTATTCCCCTTGGTGCAGAGAGCTGTCTCTATTGCTAAGCCTGCCCTGGAGCAAGTTGTTTTAAAGGCTCGGCTCAACTTCCCATTCCACAGCGCTGCCTGCGACCGCCGGAGCCACCCCACGTACCCAGCTCCATCCGGGAAGCTCCCTCCGGATTGTCCGACATGGGCACGCGGGGGCCCGAAGCTGGGACCTCTCCGATGGCAATTCCAGCACGTCCTTCCCTGCGTTTGGCACCGAGGACCGGGGCGAGACGCTGCTCCAGGCAGCCCCCAAAGCAACAAATCCTCAGAGCTGCAGCCCTCTTATCATTTCGGATTTCCCGTTGGGCTCGCGGTGCCGGATCCCACTCTCTCACATTACACGTGAGACAGAGAGGTGCCTGTCGTGGGGTTTTAAAGCCGGGTCCAAAGGGTGTCGTCTATCCATGAGAAAACGAGGCAGAGCCGTTTCTAAAGCGCCAGGGAACACAAGGGGCCCATTCAGCCCCCAAATAATGAGACGGTTTCTCCGGGGCTCTCAAACCGAGACTAAACAAGAGAAGTCCCAGGGACAATGAAACGAGATTCACGGGAGAGATTTAAAAGCAACGAGACCGACACAACAAGATTCTCAGCGCTGATAAAACGCGATGGCAATCCGGTGTTAAGCACGGAAATCTCCGTCAATCAACAGAGGAGTTTGGAAAACAAGGTCATTTTTCTTCTGATTTTATCCAAAGAGACACAATACTCGGAGAACAGCAACAAAGGGGCATTTTGCACAAAGGCAAGCACAAAGGTATTTGCACGAGAGATAAACGACCTCCCTTATAATCTGAACGTTATCGTGGTAGGGAAGCACAGCAAGGGGTTGCAAGAGCCAAAAATGAACCTCCAAAATCCTCCTCATCCTCGTGATTTGGGGATATTTCTCTTCCTCTCTCACAGCTTCTTGATTTTTGAATTTTTTCCCTCTCCCAAAAAATAATAGTGTCAGTAACCAGTATGAACAACCCAAAAGGTTAAAGGCATCAATGTTATTTACTCTGGTGAACTTCATGAGTTACCCAGGAATGTTTGTATCTGTGTAAAGAGTTGAAGCTTATCATCAGCTGAAATAAAAATAATGTCCTAGGAGAGCAGTTTCAGTCCTTTAGGTGAGTCTAGTTTAGTATCCTTAATCCACATGTCTTTGCCTTACTTGGTTTCCATTCAGCAACAAAATTAGTACAAAGAAGGTTCTGGAAAAACTCCTATTCCTGTCTGCTTGGTGTCCTACTAAAGTTAAGAAGCACCAGAAAAGGCAGAGAAATGAGAACAGGAGAAAATGGAAGATACCCAGCAGAGAAAGAAGGTAAACACCTAAGTGCTACAGTTCAGGACACACACATCCCACCACGATGAGCTTCTAATTCCTGTAAATACCTGGAAGCATCGTTATAGAGCAGAGATTCCCAAGCAAACGAAGGGTCTGGGATTCTGCCCGGCAATTCGATACTCATTCTGTTTTTGAAACACCCATTGAAAGTTAAATTCTGCTCCTCGATAGATACTCACTTCTTTTGATCTCCTCCAGCTTCTCGGTGTATTTTGTTAAACTATTACCTGCAAGGAAAGATCAAACGGCTTGAAATAGCTCCATGCTAGTGGTTTTCTTCACCAATGTTAAAGGCCTAAAATATTGAGGGAATAAACCAAAAAATATTCTAGATTCTCTTTCATGGTGACAACATGGGGCAACTGTAAACCGAGAGCACCATGATGTTCCTCCTTGTCCCCTTCTCTCCCAACCACGGCCAAGATTAACAGCCAAATCAGTCAAAAAATTGGCTTCCATCCACAGCAAGGGGGAACGAGCAGGTCGAAACCTCCATCCTGGAGAGAGGAGGAGTCACCAAGATCGCTCGTGCCTAGCAGGATTATGCAGAATTAGCAGAATCTGTGTCTTTACAGATTATTTTCATATTTTGCATCTACCTTAGTTTTATTTTATGGGATTTTCCAGTAGAGCTGCCAAGGGATCCGTGTCCCGCTAGTCCAAGCAGCTCCACTGCTAAAGGCAGCCCCTTGGCTCCCTCTCTGTCCCATTTATAAATCCCATACTGAGTCCTCTCTGATCAAAAGCCCAAGTGGCTCTGAGGATTCCTGGGAGAAGGAAGCCCTGATCCTCACAAAGTTCCCGCCCAAAACTCTGTATTTAAGTAGAGGATTGAAATCAGGACTGGGGTCTCTTATCATGATCCTGACACCCCACTTGAAGGGGTGTCCCTTTCCTGACACTTTCCCAACACTTTTTAATGGGATACCATCACCAAATATTAATGAATATAATTTCACCACTTTTATCCAGAAAAATCCCAGCGCCCCCTCCACATAATTGTATCGCTCTGTGTTCTCGTCAGGTCGTTATATATTTTTAATGATAACGGTTTCACTTACCAGTATCGAGGCGAGTTTTGATATGTTGGTACTTGGGATTCTGAGGGATTCTCCTGGTTAAATACTGTCGGGGAAAGGGGATGAGACGTGAGGCTGGCACAGAGCCACGCAGGAGATTTCGGGGATGGAAAAGCTCCCGGGAAACGGGAATCTAAGGAGCGCTATAAAGCACTGGGAAGGATGGGGATATGGGGGCCATCACCTCATGTGCCCCCCGCTCTCACAGCAGCGGCCACAGGACCCTGAGCCCGGCCACAGGACCCGCTCCCCTTGCTTATTAATATAATATAATATAATATAATATAATATAATATAATATAATATAATATAATATAATATAATATAATATAATATAATATAATATAATATAATATAATATAATATAATACAACACAACAACCTCCGGGTCGCCGACGCTTCTTCTCCCCGACATCTTCCCACAGCGGCCGCCGCCGAGCGCGTCCCCGCTCCCGCCCTCCCGCCCGCCGTCCGGCTCCGCCGCCCCACCCCGCAACAACCCCCGCCGCGATTGGCCGCCCGCCGCGCCCGCGGCCAATGGGAAGCCTCGGAGCGGCGCGGGCCGCTGACAGCTCTCAATGGTTGCTGGGCAACGCGGGGAGGACGCCGCCGGGAGGCGTCACAAGGCGGGGGGAGGAGCCTCCCTACCGCTCCCCGCCCCGCGCATGCGCATCACCTGGGCCAACCGAGTCGCAGTGGTAGAAGCCCCGCCCACTACCTCGAGGGGGCGTGGCCTAGCGTCCCGACGGGGGGAACAGCCGCTTTGGGGCGGGGTTTTCGCCTGAAGGGGCGTGGCCTGACCACTAGGGGGCGGGGCTTGATAATCCTTGCTCCCTTAGGGGCCCAAAAACACATCCATAGACATATAAAAAAATATATTTAAAACTATTAAAATATTAAATATACTTAAAATACTTTAAAATATGTAATATAAAGACAAATCATAAAAATTGGGCTATAAAATCCATGTTGCCCTAAGGTAACCGAAACCACGACTGCTCTCTTAATTAAATGTGTGATTTTAATTAGATGTCGCAAACTCCCTTCCACCCCACCAAGTCTGCTCAAGTTCCCCCTTCCAGGGGCAATATTTGGTTAAAAAATGGGGCTGTTTGGGGTCTCGTTCCCATTTCTCTCATGAAAACTTCTTTTCATTAGGATAAGCTGAATATGCAGCACTGGCACTAGCAAAAGCCGGTATCTTCTGAGCAGCAGCTATTCAAGCCGCAGGCCTAAGAGGTAGGTGTTTAAATTAGCATAAAATTAGTATTCTCCCCCTTGCTGGCCTTCAGAAAGATACTGCTTGTCAGAGCTTCCTCTTTGTCCAAGGAAAATGCTGCTGCTTGGTAATATCCGACATAAGGCTCAGAAGTGCTGTTCCTAAGTACAAAATTAATATACCATTAAAGGCGATATTTAAGCTCTGTAGATTCATCTTTTTCTATGAAACAGAGGAGACAAATCACCAAGAATTTGATCGTGAATATGTAAGTTGACAGAAGCTGCAAGTTTTGTGCCTTCAACCGCTCTGGGCTATTTTTTCTGTACTGAAGATCTGGAAGCAGCCAGAATTACAACAAGAAATGTCTCTTTTATTAACAGTAATTCATACGGATTCCACCACTCCAATCAGTGTTTATTTTCTGTTAATAAAAATCATTTTTGACAAAAGTTTGATTGCATTTTCTTACCAGCTTTCTACACATCCTAATCCTTCCCCGCGGCAACTGCAAGCGGCCGGAGATGCAATAAGTTAGACGGGAATGTGTAAGTGGCAATGAGGGAAGAAGGGGCATGGAAAAGGCTCAGTATCAGCCAGCCACTACTGTAACATCATACAAAATATTTACCAAATTGAGGAATAAAAACTACATGCAGAAGGACAGACAGGCTGCTTGACATCCGGGAGACACCGGATGGGGCTTCCTAGGATATTCCCATCTCGGTGCTGTGACATTTAGCCCACAGAAGCCAGGATAACGTCGACAGGCATCTCCTCCTTGCTCCTAACTGTCACCTGCATCGTCACTCCATCTCCTAGCGCAAGCCTGGATCTCACCAGGACATCGTGGCCACCTCTGTACACACCTGGCAACAAAAACAAGATTTGGCACATTTATTATTATCTATAACATGTATTATATATTATTTCACACTAACATTATTTGGCAGCCTGGATTACAGTTATTAAAGAGTTCTGGGAACTGCGGGTCAATTTAGGACATGTTTTTGGTGACTGGAAGTTGAAAACAAATGGTCCCAGGAATCCCCAACCACAAGAGCAATTTACAGGGAATTTAGTTTGAGCATCTTTTTAAGTTGCTCCATTTACAGGTTTCAGTTCCCTTCCCCTCAAGAGGATTGCCTCTGTCCTGCATGTAGCCTGCTGTTCACTCAGCTCTCTACAGGAATAAAAAGCTCTCTATTCAGGAACAGAATCTCTTAATTCATTTCCCTTCGTGTAGTTAAAAAAAAAAATCTGTCTGCATGGAGTGAAGGAAACCTGGAGTGCAGCAGTATGAGTACGTACCGGCTAAATAGAGTGTGTGGGAATTTTTGTTCTCTGGCACTTTATCTGATCTCTCGCATGGCTGCATGCCCAAGAACTTGATGATGTTACTGACAGCTTCTGCATTGAGAGATTTAAAAGAAGGTCGTTATCTCGAGGCTGATGACAAGCTTTCTGTCAGAATTAACTCACGGTTAAGGAACAAACTCTAAGCATCCGCATGGCTTCACCACTTCCATTTGCAATCCTGGTGGCAACCCCACCAACACACCTACCTTGTGCTGTTCCTTCTGCTGTTTTAACAGCCTTGGAGTACATCCCACCTCAAAAATCAGTCTCAGCAAGAGAGTACTGCCAAGTTTCCAGTCACTACAACCTCATGCTTCAACACAGAGCCTCGCTGCTAGCATGTGTTACAGGAGAAGCTTCTCCTCCTACCACATCAAGTATTTTCCCATCATGGAAGAATCAAGGATAACTACGGAGCTACCAACAAACAAGGAGAAGAGATCATCTCACCATCAAGGGTTTTGATGGAGCTGAGTGCAAAGGTTTCTTCTTTCTCAAAGTTGTCTCCTACTTCTTCCCATGCAGCTGCAAAGTTGGGCTTCAAGACCTTCTGAATATGATCGGACACGGTCACCTCCAAGTCTTCCAACTGGCAGAAAAGCAAGGGAGATTTTCAGCTACCTGTTCCCTAAAGGATCCTAATCTTACAGGAAAAGAAACAAGGAGGGACAGCAGCATTTTGCCAAAGCAACTCCGGCATGCTAGACTTTAATTAGATACTAACAGCATCTAAAAAGTATGGAAGAAAAATAACATTTATTGCAGTTATCTGCAAAGCTTAAGGCATTTACACAAAACAGCAGTGAGACCAAAGGAGAGCAGGAAATATTGTGGTTGCTTAGCAAGTCAAAGTCCTTTCTAGCCCTCACTAGACATCTAAGGAGACTTTTTCTGAAAGCAGAAGCAGCCTCTACTTTCCTCAAGCCCAGCAAACTACGGGCTTTGGTAGCCCCCAAGGGACCTCCCTGAGATAACTCCCATTTCAGTGATTGGTAACATCAGCACAACAGGCAGACGTGCAAATGCTTGGGGTAGGGGAGAAGAGCAGGTCACAGTTCTGAAAGGAGATTGTGGAAATGACTCCTCCTTTCCTGCCTATCTCCACAGATTCTATCTCCATATGGTGCTAAAGCTCAGCCAACTTTTATCAGGAGCAAGTTTTTTGGGGAAGGATCCAAGGCACGCAGTCTAAAACCAGAATATTTTGGAAAAAGTCTCTCAAGTAGCCCTCCCATTTTCTCCTAGTGACTTCAGATCTGGAAGGAAACTAGAGGAATCCAGTGGAAAAGGCAACTGTCAACCCAATGGTCACATATTCAGAATTTCAGTAGCAAGGGGATAAATATGTGAACAGTCCCATCTTACCACATACTCATCATCGTAGCCATCCTCCTCGGGAACGCCCGTGTTTGGGTCACAGTCTCGAACGGTGAACTTCATAGTGCAACTGAAGGTACAAGCAACTGGGGAACAGCAAAAGCACAGGGAGGTCAGTGGGACAACTCCTCTGTTTACGCCCTCGCTTCCCAAAAAAGGGCTGGGAATGCCATATGTTAGCTTTCCCCCCCAAAAAGAGACACAGCAAAGGCCATAGCACTTTCCTGCTTCACGTAAAATTTCCACAGGCCCTAATGTGAAGGACAAAGGATGTTTTAAGAGGAAGAGTATCCCAGGGCCACAGTGTCACAAGCCTCTTCACAGAATATTATGATGTGATCCAGGCAGCAGCAGTCACCAGGGAAAACTCCACTTGAGTTTTCTCCAAGAAACCAGGGGTTTCTGTCAAGTGGATAATGATCCAAAACCATCGTCCAGGGGATTCACACCCACCTCCTTCCATGTCCTAAAGAAAGCCTCTCATGTCTAAGTTTCACACTCATTTCTAACTCTCCAGAAAGTAGAAAGTGGGTAAACTGAACTGCATTAGTCACTTTTCCAGTTTCTTTTCTTTCTTTTTTTTTTTTTTTTTTTTTTTATATAAAGCTCCAAACTATCAATCAGTATTTTCCATGGCACTGCCCTTTTACAGATTATGTTCCTGACTACTACCAACAACCACCCATATTTTCAAATGTGTTGAATTCCCTGATTCAAGGTAACAAACCAATTTTTCTCTAATTATCTGCCTAATCTCCATATTTCTTTAATATCTAATTTTTAGTCATCCAATGTCCATCTGTTAACAAGTACACACAATATGCCTCAAAAATAGTCTTAATAAAAATCAACGAGTGTGACAAACAAGAAAAAATACTGGGACGTCAATATCCACTCAAATGCCACATTCGAAACATAACTATTATCAAAAAACATTCATTTGTGAGATTTTTTTCCACACAGAATGAGTCCCTCCTAATTGTTACCTGCAGTGGGGTCATCCTGGGGCAGCTGGACAAGCGTGTAACACATTCCTGGCTGGTTGTAAGCAAGGTTGGGTGCTGGGATGCAACAAATCACATCGTAAGCGTCCGACGGCTCCATCTGCACAGTGACTCTCTCTAACAGCTGATCGTTTAAAGTGTTGGTGCAGTCAAACTGGCAAATCCAAAAACAAGAGCAGCTTTGGCATGGAAGAAACACCAGGTTTTTCCCAGGGACAGTTACAGCACTTTGCTGCATATGGCAGACATCCCACTTCTTTCACCCAACCATGCCACTCTCCTTGAGCAGTTTCTCTTTCCAATTTTACTAGAATTCTCTAACAGATGGGATCACAACTCCCATCCTTTTCTGATCATGAAGATGAGTTTTCTTCTTGCTAGCTCTAGGAAAAGAAAGTTAGAAGGATGCAGGCATCACACACGCTCTTAACACCACTGTGCAACCCCCTTACAGGGAAGTTCTCTTCTCTGCAGGGCACAGGGACCATGTTGATTACGCTGCTCCTACCACAGTGTGACAGAAGTCTTATCTCCCCTTACCTGGAAAACGACATGGTTTGTGAACACGTGTTTAATACAACGAACAAAATACTCTGTTTCTGCTTCCGTGAGCTGCACTGGTTCTGAAGACTTGAATAATGGACCCAAGTTCTTAAACTCAGGAATGGCTGCCAGTTGTTCTGCACAGAAAGGAGAAAAAGAGGACAAAGACGTAATGACAACCACGCTCCTCACTCCTCTCTGACTTGGAGGAGAACAAGGTGCCTCCCACTGAGTACTAGAGACCCACTGCTTGTCTCCCATACCTTGGAATATATCCTGACGTGAAGGAGCAACTTTCTCAGGCTTGCTGGTCACTAGGGCAATCTCTGTGAAGACAGAAGCAAAGACACTCCATAACGCAGAAGTTTTAGGTGCCTTTAGATCTCTGCTAGAAGTTCACTGAGCTGTTGGCGTTTCACACATTTCTGCTGCAAGTCGTTGCCATTCTGGTTCCTTGCAGCAGAAATAGCTCTTCTTCTGCTAAGTAATACTGGATTCTCACAAGGGAGGGATTTGAGTTGTAACAGCTAGAACTCCCTTTAGTCCAAAACTAAAGCATCGCTGTATTCACCACCCTGAGAGAAAACTAGTCACACTAATGACATGAAAACTGCAGCTTTACAATATACTAAGCTCCAGTTATGATATACAAGCAAAGTATCATTTATTACATATTGTTATTTCCCAGAAGGTATAAAATCATTTACCATGTTTAAGTGGATACCTGTAATACATATATTTTGAAACAGAGCAGCTCTTATTCCCCACATTTAATAGGTAGGAAGAGGAGAAAGGGAAGAAAAAAGGGGTCTTTTTTAAAACATCATGCAAGGTCAAAATGCAACAGTTGTTCAAGAGCACGGTATAAATCCAATGAAGGGGTGTTAAGTGCTTCTGGAATGTACTCTTCCTCAAACATCAAGGAACTACAATTCTGATCTCAGATCTCTTTCTGATAAATGGCAACAACAAGATCAGCAGAACAAATGACAGCTTTAATGACAGAGCAAATGACAGCTATAACCCTCTGGAGGAGGCTCTGTCTTGCTGTATCTGAGAAGATCAGAGAGGTTGGGTGTTGCAAGGCCACTGACACTAAGCTGTACACTCACCTTGGCCACCTGCAGTCTTGGCCTGACCTTACTAGGACGGCAGTCACTTAAAAAATGATGTATTATGGCAATCTTGATGCTTATAGCCTCACCTGGAGCACAAACTACTTAAATGAAGCTTGAACGTTACCTGCTTTCTGTTCAAAAATTGGTGCAGTAGCCAGTGGAACTGTTTTCATATCAAAAGGCTTGTCCGAAGGCTCCAGTGTATATTGATGCAGGGCTTTCTCCATGCCAGGTACAGAGACGGTCAACCCTGCAAAGCAGAAGCAAACAGAAGCTGAAGATCTCTGTTTTAACCACAGGAACTGGGAGTGAGGTCTAAATGCATTATCTTAGTGTTAATTTTGGATGTTCACTGTACTAAAAGCAAAAGAGTGGTCTGAGTTTGGAAAAACGGGTCCATGTCTCAGTTACCACCCTCTTGAAGCCAAAGAAGGAAATTTATTTTAAGAAGAGCTCTTCTCTGTGGCTTGTCCATTAGCTCAGACTGGGGAGAAAAAAAAACATGGTAGGGAGCCTGGAGTTTAAGGCTTGCTTGGAGTTAAAGAGATAAGGTTGGAATTTGGCTAGTAAGAGCTGGAAAAGGCCCCTCCATCTCTCAGTAAACACATGCACATACACAAACTGTAAATATTTCAAGACACTGAGTAGAATTTAAAAAACTACTCTGAAGATAACAGAGAAAGTTGATATTCCAGTAGATAGTTGAAGTCTAAACAGTGTGAGCAGCTGACTCAGGTGAAGTCACCCTTCCATAGTCTGTATCTTAAATGCTTTCCTTGCATAACCCTTCAGCCAAGGGCCAATACAACATCTTTATATCAAGATGTGTCATCCCAATTTTGTAATGGAAAAGAGAGAGCAAAGGTTAAGAAACTTGTCTCAAGTGAAGGAAAAGGCAGTGATGAAAGAAGGCCAACCCACACTCCTCCTCCATTTCCTAGATAATACTTCCCAGGTCTTGCTCAATCTGGTGTTGTCAGCTTGCTCTAGCACTTCACAGGCAAGTGAAAGGGTCAAGAGTAACATGTGGCTCTGTTCCTTCCAGTTATTATGATAAAGGTACCCAAAATTCACCATGGAAAACTACTCTCGCAGCTACAACAAAAATGGATTCATAATCCAGAACATGAAACAACAGCTCAGGCTTCTAGGGAGCATTAAATCCTTTCTGTCACTGACCATTGAAAATATATGCAGCATTCAGTGCAATCTGTCTTTGCTGTAGAACATTCAAGTAGAACGTTGCTCTGTCCCGAACTTCATCATCGCTGTCCATCATGCACCTGTTTGGAGAACAAGAGAAGAGGAGTCAATTGGCTGAGGATGTCACGAGTGCTGAGCTTGAAATGTCACCGACCACGCTGGATTTGATATTGAAAATGCAACTCTGAATGGATCTGCAAGTTGCATGAGAAAAGGTGCAGGGAATTCTGATGGCCACCAGGTGGTTGGAATTTCTTTTTCCACAGCTTTGTAGAGGTTGCTATTTCAAGAAGGGCTTGTGTACTTAAATATTTGCCTGTTTTTTCCTCATTACAGCAGGTAGTTTATAAACAGAGATCACCTCTCAGCAGCTCCTGCTTTTTAAAAAGTAATCAGGACATCTGCTGTCATAGTGACTCACGTGCATCTACACTCCAGTTGCCTTCTGCGTTAAGCAGCTCATAATTTGAATTACTCCTCTTGTCTAGAACCCAGACATGGCAAGGGTTTACGATATATGACAGTGTTATAGAAATGAAGAACATGCTATTTATTGTACAGAGAATTCAAAGAGGCTTAATGGTCCTAACCAGAAATAAGTGGACTTGTGAAAGTGTAACATTAATTAGCCACGTGCAAGTTATTTCTGGATGAAATAGACTATATTTTCTTCAAGGGATGCAAAAATATACACACTTGCTACAGCATGGTAGATCTACTACCCATGGAGGAACAGCCTCAGGCTGAATTAGGAAGCCACAAGAAGGCTGTTAGATGTCCCCTTGCCTAATTACACCTTTTATTCACGTACCCCCTGCAGCCCTGCACTCCCTTCAGTGAGGAAGGGTGGAAAGGGGCTGCCTGTTGAGCTCATCCACATGTCCTGACAGGCACCAGGGCAAATTCTGACTTGTCCTAATCTTGCCTCTTCTGTGGAGTCGGAGAGCTCAGTGCCACCGACGGGCTCAGCATGGGCACGAGGCAGCTCTGCCCACTCACCTCTGCAAAAGCACCAAGATGCTCGGAAGAAGATTCTCATTCTGGGCACCAAACTTGGCGAGGGCACTCACAGCAGCTGGAGAAGAAAGCAGGGAGATGGTGTGGTAGAGCTTCACGCAAACGTGTTTTCACAACCAGATTCAGAGCACTGCACACACTGCGGCCTTGAAGTACCAGTTACACAGGTTTTCCCTCAACTCCATAACCCTAACGTAAGTGAAGAAAATTCCTCCCTCCTCCTACCCACCCATATTTCCGCTCCTGCTGTTTTAAATGGAAATACTTTAGTGCTAGAGAACAGCTCAGAGCCTCAGGGGTTAGGGAGCTAGTAACAGCACAAGGACAGCTTGGCAGCCCTGCAAAAGGTTAGTTCAAGCTTCATGGCTCTTGTTTTTGGCCCTTCTGGCAAGTGCAATAATAAGGTTTCTAAGGGGCGGCTTAGGATCTGCCCCTGGGTCACAATGAAGAAATGGCAACTGAAAGGGTTGTCGCCAAAAACCAAGTGCACCCTGGCCCAGGATTTATCTGGGAGCTCATTTTGCTTCCTCTTTCCCTGTGCTTCCACCACCAAAAATCAGGAGATCAAACTTATCCTGATAACACTTCCAACAGCAAGACCCAACGGTGACAAAAGGCTGAAGGCTTCAAAAAGGTTCACTGTAAAGACCCTTTAAAGGAGGAAATACCACCGTGCAAAGCCTTCCATGAAATCCTCATCTGGTGCACAGGGCAGAATTTCCACAGAAACAGAAAACACATCCAGCCCTGCAGAGTTTTCCTTAAAACTTAAATCCACAGCAGACAATCAGGCCTCTTATGGAATTAACAGCGTTCCCCTTTCCACGTCCCGCCTCTTGACCTTTGGGAAGCCTAGAGGTGACCACAGCTTTGGAGCTGAACTTACCAGCTCGCACAGCCTCGTTCTCCAGCACCACCCTGTTGAATATGAAGCGGATGTACTTGGAGGGGGACGGAGTCCTGGGGCCCTCTTTCCCCAGCAGGTGCAGGATCTTGGTGGCCAGGACGGTGTGCTCGCAGTCCTCGATGAACTCGCAGAGATGAGCCAAGCCCGACTCCTTGCTCTCAGGATTCTCCTCGATGATGCTGATGATGCAGTCCACGATGGCTCGCTTGTACTCAAAGCCACCCTAGGAAGGGAAGGACAAGGACACTCGCTCAGCCTGACAGAGTCCCCACTGCAGCACTGCTCTGCTCTCCTCTCATCAAGCTTGAATTACTCCTTGCCATACAGAAAATAGACATATTTGCAAATATAAAAACAGAGGCAGGGTGGATAATCTAATGGGCTCCTCCCATCCCCAAGTAGCCAATACAGACACATTTCTGAGCAGTTCTCAGAGTAGCTTTTGGTGGTCTAATGCATGTGCATGTTTCAGACAGGTCCAATCCCTGAGAAAAGCCTTGCTAATCAGTCAGGCCCCATCACTGCTGTTTAATGTTCATTAATTCAGTTAATGAACATTTAATGTTCATTAAATTAGACTGCTCATGACATCAGCCCCTGCCGATATAAGGCAGAGGATGCCCTTCACAGTAAGGGAGCTACCTGCCAAAAAGTACATGAGGAAAGTGATAAACGTACATCATCCCTGAGCATGTTGGAGAGGAAGGTCATCATCACGCTGTGCTTCCGGGGGTATTTCTGGCACAAAGCACTGATAGCCTGCACTACAACTACCTGGAAAACACCAGAGAAGGATGTCAGTCACACGTGCTTATTTCTCCAGGAAGAACACAAGCTTCTCGCACAGGCACCGTCTCAATCTGTCACCACAGCAGGTGAAATTCAGGTACAAAAAGGGTTAAATCAGTGTGTGGACTCTTAGCATGCATTACCAATTCCCCTAGGCTAGCATGTTGCCAGGCCTGGCCCTGATAGACAGACTCTATTTAGGACAGACTAGGTTAATTCAAAGGTCTCCCTTCCCTCCTTCTACCCAGTAATGATGGCGACCTAACTCGAACTTAAATAGTTATATTTTGTCATTAAAACCCTTTGCAATTTCAAAGTCTATTTGCCCATGAAAACAGTAAGGTAAGAGCACCATACACTGTTAGACCTTGACTTTGTACAGAGATGTCATGTTCTTCGAGACAATTCTATAATGAAAAAGGGGCAAATATTCAGGTGAACTACTTGTCTTAACTAGGTTATTACGGGAATTTATAGGGACTAAACAAATTAATTGCAAATCTACAATTTATGCTTCTTAACTATGAGACAGAAGTGATACAGATTCATTCAGAATGGTTAAAATCACTCTTCCTCTCCCAAGAGGCAACCAGAAGGCAGTACAAGTTCTTGCCGGATACTGCACTAGAGCCATGAATCCACCATAGGATTTTTATCCTTTTTTTTGGTGACAGGTGGCAGAGGAAGAGCAGGGGAAAATGCAACAGCACATTTAGTTAAAGAACAGAGGATCACACTTTGTGAACTTCAAGCGGGCTCTGCTGTGCCAAGTCAAGTCACTGTGGGTTTAATAAACAGGGAAAACTCCAGAAAAGCAAGAATGGGAGAAAAACCTGCAGCTGGAAAGAGCAGAGGCCTCCAATGCCACACCTTAAACTCATCTGATATTTCTGACACGAAGGAAGAGATCTGTTTCATGAGCCTGTCCACACTGCTCTCACTCCCTGTCTTCAGCAGCGTGGTGATGGCGAGAGTAGCGATGCTGCGGTTGGAGTCCGTGATGAGGTTTTCCAGGTCCAGGTTGCAGGCGGTTACGGCAGAGGGATGCTTCATGGCCACCTGTAAAGAAGGCAATTCCAACAATTAGATGAGAGCAGCAGCATCCTGCAATCCAAAGCTTTAAGTATGGGAAGGATGAAAGCCCTTGCTTTCTCAAGGACTGCTCTGTTCCACAGGTAATGTTCGGCTTTGTGTCTAAACCTACATTTTATTTAGGTACCATGATTGTTGGTAGGACATAACCAAGGCCAACCCCTGTTTCTCTCATGGGCTTCGTCTTTGAAACCAGAATGCTCTTTTATTTCCTTCACACATTTCACAGCATTAAAAATACGAGACTCTACTTCTTTACTATTTAAGAGTTCACAGGTTTCTTAACTCTAACTGGCTAAGAACCCTGTGGTGCAGAAATGGCCACACACAGCTGGAGCCCGTATAAGATTTCTATCACAACAGGAGATTTGGCATGGAAATATCAATCCTCCAGCAGGGAACAGTTAAGAATCCAGCAACAACAGGAGCAATTGCTCTATTTTACAGAACACACCATTAGGCACTGAAGTCTGGCTTCCTCTGCTGCTCTGAGACTTAGGTGTATTTAGAAGGTCTTGGAAGCACTCACTTTGTTAAGGGTCCGTACAGCTGCGTATCTCAAGACGGGTTTGGGAGAACTACAGAAAAGCTGCAGCACTGAAAATAAAGAATCCAGAGAAGTAACTCATGACAAAATATTAGAGATTCTCTAACAAAAACTGGCTCCCAATACTCTAGGCACCTGTAATGACTGGGGAGGGAAGAGCCTTTAGGCACAGAGTTTCCCAAGCCTAATAGTGTCTGGGAAGTTGCCTCAATTCAATTCTTTGATACTGAGAGCTGCAAACACTGCAGTCAGGATTCACCACAGCGGGAAAACAGATACTCTTCCCAAGGAAAATGAGAAAAGAGAAAAGTCTAAAGGGTCCACATTCAACTACGTATTGCTACATACAGTTCATACAGCTCTACTCATTAGTTGCTAGTTTCATAATTGAATTAAAAGCAACCTCCTGTTTTTTGTCTTACGTAGCAGTATGTGATAAACTACAACATAAACTGCCTAGGACATCAAGTTCACCTCTACCATTCCCCCCATCCCTACTTTCTGCAGTTGGAGAAAGACAACTATTACCCTCTGCCTTAACTGTTCTTTCTCCCTAGAAGTCCAGATGAAATGGAAGAAAAAAGCAAAAGAAATCAACCCGCTTCCCATCCACAAGCCTCCCACCTTAAGGAAGGTGATAAATTTAATTTTTTGGAAGCATAAGTGAAATACTGTGCTCCATGTGTGCTTTACTACGTGTTTTGCCACCCTTTCTTTCACAGTATTCCTCCATTAGTGCTAGGAAGGATTCTTTCTGACCAACCTGAAACAGCAGGCGCCAGCTCCCTCGCCGTGCAGTTTGGGAGGTGGATGATTGCGGAGGCGGCTTCGTAAATAACCATCTCGTGCTTATTTCGTAGGCAGCTCTCGATGAAATCAAACAAGGGGCTGTCATGTCTGCAGAGAGAAGGGGTTTCACACTGTGACACTGAGCAGGTACAAACCGTAACTGCATTTCTGAAAGCCCAATGGAGAGCACAGTGAGTGCACTGGCTCTTACACCTTCCCCACGGGCAGTTTTGCTGTATCCATAGGGCAGATTAATGCTTGAACTCTAAACTTGCCATTTAACATTATTCTACGACTCTATGCTATTTTCCACAAGCCAGAACTGACGCATTCTGGAAATGGATAATTTATTACTAATCGTGTTTCACACGGATAGATTTCCACTGATAAAAATTTCATCAGCAGTTCTCAAATAACTGTATTATATTCTCTTAGGATAAGAAATCAGCAGAGGAGGGATCCTTTTGTTTAAACAGCTCAGGTAGATTCTTATTGTACTCAAATTTAATCTAAGTAGACAGAGCACAAAACACTGCACCCCTTCAGAGATTATTCTGCAGTTTTTATCCCTACTGTAATGTTAACTCTCATGCAATGCAAATTTCCCAAGTACTGTTGAACTCAAACTACGATTACTTTGTAATTCCCAGGCTGTCTCTCACTTACCCTTCTTCAGATTCTTTCAGGAGCTTGCTTGCAATTCGGATCAGCATGCAGTAGGCAAACTGGGATTTCAGTCCGGATTTTGTGAACTTATTCAGCATCTTGGAAACTGCGAGGCGATCGTTTTTCCTAAGGTGATAGAGCAGCCCCAGAGCATGATACTAGAAAAGGAAAAGTGAGATGTGCACAAGAATGTCTGAAGATGTTATATACACACACTGCAGTAGGAAAAGACAGATTTGGAATATGCAGGAAGGATAATATTCAGTTTCCTTGCAAAAGGACTTTTGGACATTAAATGATTGCATTTTCCTTACATGTAAGGCACCTACTGTATTTCCTTCCCCTGCCTGTTTACCATAAGGCAGTCTCAGCATGTTCCTAGATATCAAGAAAGCCATAAAAATCAATGTTTATTCCCTTTTTTTCTTCACCGAATGCCACTTTTAATGTCTCAAGTGACTAAGTTATACTGCACAGTAAGTCTATGCAGTAACATCCAAGATAATCCAAGTGTTTTAAATGACAGCTGACCCTACAAACCACCTTGAGGCATTTACAGTGAGAATCCAAAGTGCAAAGTACAGGAAAACGTTCCCAGTTACTTGCCAAGGTTTTTTGCCATAAGATTGATTTACAGTAAGGCTTAATGAAGCTGCTAATTGTGTTTGGAACAAAGCTGGCTTTGCACTGTTGTTTCTCAATGTGAATTTACGATGCTGCTTCACTGAACATGCTGAGTATTTTCATGTCCATAACTATTTGGGATATTTGTGTGAAATTTTGCTTATAAGGTAACTCACTGATACTCAGGGTAAAAATGTTACAAAGGCCAAGATAAGGAGTGGTGGTGATTTGGTAAATGGTAAATAAGATTAAGATTCCTTGAGTTTAGAAAGCTCAAAGCAAAAATTCTTTTTCTGGCAAAAACAACTGTTAAACTACGCGCTCCTCCTACCAAAAGATTAGCAGGCAAAGGGTAGAGGGTTGCAGTAAAGAGCTCACTCATACATACCTGTACCATAATGTTGTCACTAGAAGCTGCTTCCTGAGCCTCGTTGATCCACCGTTTTACAACGTCATAACTGATCTTCATCATATGCTGTAAGAAGCCACAAATTGAGATTGCAAACAAGTTAATATTAGAAGCACCGAGAAGAACCACGAGCCATGTTGTCAGCCTTTGTTCATTGCTTTAAGAAAATCTAGGGCTTTGCTGCACAGTACTAGAAACAAAGAGCGTCTCCCAAATAGGTAATTTGTATGGAGGCACCCACACTGACAAAAAGAAACATAGCTAGAGAGATTTTGCTTCCATCCTAACAGGACAGAAGGAAAAACCAGAACAATGCACCTCTGCCTGCTATTAACTCCACGAAGAAGACTGTAATGATCAGTATTAATACAGCTTCTTCTTTTTTTTAGGGTCTCACATTGTTCTGCTCCAATCTCTTAATTTCTATTCTCAATGATTTACTAATGCAACTTGTCTCTTTAATCCATGCACCTACAATCTCCTTTTTTCTTATGCATCAAGCTCAACCTGCCATGCTTTCACCTGCACCTTCCCTTTGAATAAACATATTAACCTATTCTGAGTAAAAACACTAACCATTTAGATTCTTTCTCAGCCTTTTCTCTTAATCAGTAGAGGCAAATTTCACAGTTAATTTCTTTATCTGTCCCTCCTCCTACATATTAGGAAAAACAATCTTGAGTTATATCACGGCAAGAATTTTGTTGATTTGCTTTTTGCATAGCACAAAGCAGGTTGTTTTTATATTCTGTTCTAGAACTGATAAGCACTTTCATGGTCATCAGTGTTGGGTTTTTTGCACAACACAAAGCTGTTTGCTTTTGCTTTCTGTTACAAAACTGCTAAGCACTTTTCAGGGTTAAGTGGCTTAACTTTTGAGAACGCAAAGCTCCTTTCCAGAGAAAAAAAGCTACTTTGGCTCTAAACACATAGACATGACTGAGCATGCTGCAATTTATTAGCTTTATAGTGCATCTGTTGCAATATGGAATGCTAAAGAAAGGGAGAAGCTACTTGAAACACAGGAAATTGTTTCTGTTTTTTTTTTTTTTTTTT